GAAGATTCTGAAGTCGACTGGAGTCCGTGGCTGAAGCTAGTGTAGTATTTCAAGACATTTTTGGGCAATTTTGGTAAATATATGTTAAAATTTATGCATCTGACTCTGTATACAAACACACACACACACACACACACACACACACACACACACACACACACACATATATATATATATATATATAAAGGGTGTTCCAATAAGTTGGACCGATTTTAAATGTGAATTAAGTTTAAGCGTCTAATGATTTTTTTCTTTAAAGTTTAAGTGCCTCATGATTTTTTGTCTTTTTCTTTCAGATTTAACAGCTTAAGTCTTTGTTAATTTCAACCATGGAAAGATTAACAATCAAACAATAAGTGCGTGTGCTTGCATGTTTGTATATTTGTATGCATGTATAGGCACACACATAAATACACAACCACAAAAACATTCATACACACACAAAAATCCAGTCATAAACCAGAGATCAACGAAGAAGGTGAGGAAATAAATTAAAGAATAGACAAATAAAAAATTAAAGAAAAGGAAGGGAGAGGAGGAGAAATCAATCAACGCCCATCAAGCGAAGACAAAAGGAACACACTCAAAAAAAAAGTTCTGATGAGTGGCTATATCTGTGTAACCACGAAACTTTGAAATAAATTTTAGTTAAGTGAAAAAAAAACCTTTTCATTAATTCTATTAACGTTCTATCACTACATTCGATATTGAGCACTCTACTACAAAACCTGTTTGCCTTAAATGCCTTTATCAGCAAACCACTGTTTTCCAAATTAGTACTATATATATATATATATATATATATATATATATATATATATCAGGGAAATTGTCTGAAATATAGAAAAATAAACAAAAATACTTTTGGTAGTCTTTTAAAAATTATAAATCATTAATTCTTGAGTAATTGCTTTGTTTTACGTTTCGGATACGAAACTGAGCCGATATGGCTTTCGAGTGAGTGTGTTTTGAGGAAAATAGGACCTTGCTTTTCGTAGCCAACCAGTCAAATCACGCCGGATCAGACGATCTGAAGGTATATATATATATATATATATATATATATATATATATATATATATATATATATAGCCTGATGTGCATTTAGCTACAGAGGAAGCGTCTGGTTAGCAAGGCCAAATTACTGCTTTTAAACAACAAATCTCCCATATGTCGGAGGACAAACATGAGGACAATAGTCCGACTAATGTAAATACTGTACATAATACCTCATCTCAGAAATATAGACAGACTCTGAAGGATCAGTACGGACCCGATATACCAAAAATATGGAGACAGATTGAGAAATCCTACCAAAAACTGGCACGAATATCGAACCATCTGACATTCCTACACCGATGCAGAGATCTACAACTCATCCCTTCCGGCTTGGCACCAAGACTTCCTATCAATTCAAGGAGAGCTCGTCGGGTCGCAGAGAAAGCGGGACACGCCCTTGTCCGAGAGAGAATCCAGTACAATCGTTGGATGAAACATCGACTACATGCACATATCTCCCAGACGCTTGAGGATTTCTTCAACAGAATTACCAATGAAGAAGACCAGAGAAGGATCCAAAATGATTGGATAAATCCTTCAGACATGAATTTGATGTAGTCAAGGCTCGCCAAGTGCAAAAATTAAATAGATTGAAAGATCAGAAGGTGACGCATAAGGTCCATCACCCACCAGTGAAAGCAGTAGTCAGCATCAGCCAATATCAGCTGAGTGCCTCTGAGGAGTCAGTGTTGAATAAGGGTCTCAACTTCGCCACAACCATCGGGCGGGTGCCATACTTGGACATCATTGCCAGAGTAGAGGAGGTGGCCTTGAACATCCCTCAGGCTCAGGCGGATGAAATGAGATGGAAAGTGAGACAGGCCTTGGAGAGAGCCAAGCTGCCCAGGTCTAACATAACAAAACTGGAGAGACTGGCGATTGAATCACTACAGAGGAACGAAAACATCATCATATTACCGGCTGACAAAGGTAATGCGACTGTAGTGATGGACAAATCGGAGTATACAAGAAAATTGGAAGACCTCATTAGAAATGGTAGCTACAGCATAGTGAAGAAGGATCCTACTATGAAAACGGAACGTAAACTGTCACAGATCCTAATCAAGAACAAGGATCACTTCGCACCCAAGATGTATAGGCAGTTATCGCAGCGTTACACCAAGTTACCTCACATATACGGTCTCCCTAAGATTCACAAAGACGGTGTTCCACTCAGGCCGATTGTTAGTTGCCAAGGCTCTGCGTGCCATCCTCTGAGTCGCTTCCTTGTAGATATAATTGACCAATTGATCGGAAAGTCTCCTTCATATGTCCGAAACTCCGCCCACTTCGTGGAAATAATCAAAGATGCTCCCATCCTATCCAACCAGATGGTGAGCTTGGACGTGGTGAGTCTTTTCACCAAGGTACCCACGGAGGAGGCACTCTCAGTAGTCAGAGATAGATTGACCTCTGACTCTTCCCTAGAGGAGCGGACCAGTATTCCAATAGATAATATGATGGAGATGTTGACTTTCTGTACACAAACAACACACTTCGGAATGGGATCACATATATCGACAGGATGAGGGCTTAGCAATGGGCTCGCCATTATCACCAGCAATGGCGAATATATACATGGAATACTTTGAAGAAATGGCATTAGAGTCTATATCGCTAAAGCCAACTATATGGTTAAGGTACGTAGATGACACCTTCATACTCTGGCCACATCAGGAAGATGTTCAGGTTCTACTGGACCATGTGAACTCAATAAGACCTTCGATACAGTTCACAATGGAGAAAGAGAGTAACAACTCACTCCCATTCCTGGATGTACTAATATCTCGAACAGAGCATGCGTTCAAGACATCCGTATACCGTAAACCAACATTCACCGGACAGTACCTCAATTTCGACTCCCACCATCCATACAGCGTAAAGAAAGGGATCGTCCGATGCTTACAACACCGAGCAAAAGTCATAAGTGGCGACCCAGAGACGTTAGATAAGGAATTGGTCAGTATAAGTAGTACCCTACAACGTAACAACTACCCTGGGTACATGGCAGCAGCCCCCAAAAACTGGGATAGGCGGGTTCAAGAGGAGGAGGAGGACAACAACACTCAGAAAACAGTCTGCCTGCCTTATGAAGGGGTTATCAGAGAAAATACAAAGGATCTGCGGTCCATATAACATCAGGACTACCTTCAAAAGCGTGACAACACTTCGCAGATATCTCTCATGAGTGAGACCCCCCACAGAGAGGAATATGACTAAAGACTGTGTGTACGCTATCCCGTGCAGCTGCGGAAAGGAATATAAAGGAGAGACAGGCCGCCCCCTCAAGGTAAGGCTTCAAGAACACAAGAAAGCTGTAACGCGAGGGGAAGTAGAAAAATCAGGCGTGGATGACCACATATGGAGAGAGAAGAGAGATCACCGCCCCCTGTGGGATCATGTTGAGATCATAGACAGGGAACACCATTAAAAAATTCGTAAACTTAAGGAATCAGCACATATGCTAGGCCACACAAATCTCCTGAGCCGACCAAGCATAGAAATAAATACAATATGGGAACCAGTAATAAGGAGTGCCAGAGAAAAGCAATGATAACAAAGTTGCAATATGAACTCTGGTAAAGACATGCAATGATAACAGCAAAATTGCAATATGAGCACTGGTAAAAATGATGCTGAAAACATTAGGTTTATAATACTCAGAAGTTCATACCCACATGACACAGTGGATAAAAGCGTTAGTTAGATCCAGTGACAGACCCAAAGAAGGTGAGTTCAATACCTGGTTAAGGCAGTGGAGAACTTTCAGAGGGAAAATTAGCAGGAGATAACTGATAACTGACATCCATCAAACATGGCACGTCGAACTAGAACAGTCTACCCAAGTGATCGAAATAAAGGGTTCAGTTCGAAATTCCAACCACCTGAAGAAGGCCGGAGCATACAACGGCCGAAACGTTGTGACAAATATGGCGACAAAGATGAGGACAATAGTCCGACTAATGTAAATACTATATATATATATATATAAATATATAATAGCTGGTGACTCATTATCGAGTATACCAGTTCCATACTCCTGCTCAGGAAACTATGTAAAGAGGGCGTTATTTATAGTTTCTTCTAGAAAGCACATGGCGCGATCAGTAGTTGAACAAGGCTTGTACGTCATCCTGGGTATGACGATAGACCACCCCGGGAGGTTTTGAGTGTGGAATCACCTCTTAATTGTTGTTGCTCCCAGGTTCACCTTGATCCAGAGCGGTAGCATCAGTTAGGGCCCCAACTATGGGCTAATAGTTAACACTATGAAAGTATAAAAATACATTTTTATAGTAAAACACCTTAATTTTTGAAAATAAATAATATTACCAGCAATACATTTGACTCTCCGCAAAAATTCTCTTTTCAAAAATACGTCATTGAAAACTGATCTACAAAGTGATTTCTTACAAAGACTACAAAATTAAATAAGCCATTGAAGTTGATATGCTGTAAAACAAAATAAAACCAAATCCAAATGCTGTATGTTCAAGCTCTTGGACACGACAATAATTGAGTAATTAATGAAATTGGGGGTGAAATTGAGTGCAAATCCTATTACAGCATAGTACTACATTACTTTTCCCTGTGGCCTGCCTAACTGTCGTGACGGTTGATAGAGAAAAAAGCCTGACCACGTCAAATATTCTTATAACAACTTTCATTTGTTACTTAGAGATAAGAAGGTTGCTACCAAATAATGCACTTTGTCCTGAGGAAGCCATGAACATTCGGCATGGTTCTTTCGGATCATGCAACCAACCAACCAACCAACCAACCAACCAACCAACCAATCAAACAACCAACCAACCAACCAACCAACAAACCAATCAAACAACCAACTTTGGTTACCAACCATAAAAGCAACAACATTTATAGTATTCAATCGTTGTTCGACTTTAAACTCTGGTAAAAAATAGTTTTCCTTGTGGACAAACCTTGTGTAATATTTAGTGACGTATTTGCCACTGGCCGGACTCGGTAAATCGATGGCTGCCATTTAATGTCAGACGCTGTTAGTGTCGCCAGGAGGTTGTCTGCTACTTCGATAGAGAAGATGTCACACACGGCCTGAAAGAAAAGAGAAAAAGAAAGGTAGGTATGTGACAGATAGATAGATAGATAAAGAAAGTGTGTGTGTGTGTGTGTGAGAGAGAGAGAGAGAGACAGAGACAGAGACAGAGACAGAGACAGACATAGATTAGTTTGCAAGTGGCAGTGACCGACATTTTATATACGTCTTCAAAAAGGATCCTGAAAAAGAAGAAGAAGAGGCTCAATATTTTGTGAAATGAAATCTTAATGAAATAATTATTACCATCGGAAAGGATAAAATAAATCCATGTAAGAATGAAACGAAAGAAAGATGAAGGAAAAATCGGATGGAAGAAAGAAAAAACGAACAAAAAAGAAATAAAGAAGACGGAAAATAAATGAAGAAAGAAAAAAAGAAAGAAAGAAGCAAAAAGACAAAAAGAAAGAATGTAAATGAAGAAAGAAGGAAAACAATACGAAAGAAATAAACTTTTTAGATTCGATTTTTCTTAAAATCAAATCTTGTACGCAAAATAATTTAGCATCCGTCTATATTTCTGAGATGGGATTTTGTAACTATTTACACTGTTTACATTGTTCGGACAGTTGTCCTCATCTTTATTGTCATATTCACGACTAAATAAAGGGGTCAGTTCGAAATGACAATGAAATTCCTGAAGAAGGTCAGAGCGTAAAATGGCTGAAACGTTGTGAATATGACAATAAAGATGAAATCCAAAAAATGTAGTGTAAAATGATTTGGGTTTATCTTAAATTTTTAAAAAGGAAATTTAACTACAAAAAAATTAATGCTGATTTTGGAAGTTATTCAGAATCGGACAAAGGAACAAATACGTGTGTGTGTGTGTGTGTGTGTGTGTGTGTGTGTGTGTGTGTGTGTGTGTGTGTGTGTGTGTGTGTGTGTGTGAGAGAGAGAGAGAGAGAGAGAGAGAGAGAGAGAGAGAGAGAGAATGAATGGTGGGTGGGTGGTATACTTACTTTGAAAGTACCGAAAGCCCACTCTTTGAACGAATTTTCCTGACCACAGAGTTCGTCCCCTTTTCCGACTTCATGGATTTGGACAGCTCCTAGCTTTCTCAGATGTTCATCAAGATCTTGACCGAATTGGCAAAATTTCGGGTAAGCCCGTGACCCCAAAGCAAAAACAGAAAATCTACAGAAAGAAAAAAACATTTATACTATTCAAACTGTTGTCCTCATCTTTATTGCTATATTCACGAAGTTTCGGCCTTCTTTAGGTGATATACGTCAGAATTTTGATTCGAACCCTTTATTTAGTCCACGGTAGTAGATAGTTCTAATTCCACATGTTATACTTATTTAGTTTCAGTTAATTCCATTTGGTAACTCAACTCTCCAACTTTTTGTATTGAACTCGGAACTCTTTGGTTCAAGTCACTTTTTGGATCACTTAACCTACAATTTTATCCACTTGAGCATTGGTTAAGTGATTTATTTAGTCCATTTAGATAGATTGTTCTAAATGCCATGCATTTTTTTAATATCTCAGTTTCAGTTAATTCCTTTCACTAACTCAACTTTCCAATTTTTTGTACCGTCTGCTATGACCAGGTATTGAACTCACAACTCTTTGGGTTAAATCACTTTTTGAACTTTTTTATATTTAATATTAAGGTATTATAGAGTTTAGGTAAGAACTCACTCTGGTAAACTAGGACCCAGGAGATTCTTTTTAGTTACTATTTAGAAATAGATGGCGTTATATCTACCCTCAGTAGATCAACATATATGTTTAGCGTGCCAAAATATTGTAACAATCATTAAGTTTGATTTATCTGTTACCTTATATCATTTATCATGAAACCATCTCAATATCACTAGGTATGGCTGTGAATCTATTCTCTATAAGAAGAATGAATAAACAATTTCGCAGTAGGCATCGGGATACGAACGAGCAAAATAAACGAGCCAATCAATTTGCTTAATTTTTACGAAAAAAGGAAATATTCGACAGTATACTTTCAGGATTGGTATCTGTGGTCATTTGGGATTATAACGCAAGTTGTCGCATTTATATGAAGCCAATAGGAGGAAAAATATAAACCTGAACGCATTATGATACTGAAAATAAGTTATGCCAATGTTACCTTTTCTCCAGTGGCTCATAAATTTTACGTGCTTTCTTTTCAGTACCACGATGTGTTCAGTTCTGCATGTCACCTCGTACTGATTCCATGTGAATGCGAAAAATTGTATCCCGGTTATAAATGACTAACGATACCAGTTTTGAAATACTAGGTGAGGCAAAGTCACGTATCATAGACGTTAATGGATAATGAAGAAAACCTGTTGAGTGACTATCATGGTCACTAGACCTCACAAGCAAACTGATTTTCTTTCTATCTATCTATCTATCTATCTATCTATCTATCTATCTATCTATCTCGGTCTGTTCATATGTATGTATCTATCTATCTATCTATCTATCTATCTATCTATCTATCTATCTATCTGAAGTACTACCAAAAGTTCGGATAATTTAAACATGTTTATCAATATGTTCATCAGTATTTCAATGTGTGTTTCCTTCTTTCTTATGCTTTAAAATTATTTCATGGGGGAAGATTTTGTGATGATGTTTAAGCCATAAACTGGGAAAATTTGCAATAAACTGCTCGCCATCTCTCTATATTTCAGTTTCTTCATAACTCATTCTATTTTTCTCTCATTCTTCTTCCGTATGATTGTCGTTGTGTCATTACCTTAAGATAAATCTGACTTTATTACGTGATGAGAATTGACATTGTTAAGAAGTTTTTTGAGGACGATTTGGCCTTTTTTTGTTACTCGTTAAACCACTGATCCCAAATGACCAACACTGTAATAAAAATAACTATTTTTTATATTTAATATTAAGCTATTATTGAGTTTTGTTAAGTACATGTTTTGGTAGACTACGACTCAGGAGGTGTTTTTGAGATAATATTTAGAAAAAAAAATGGCGTCATATCTATCATCAGTTTTAAAACTGATGGTAGATATGACGCCATTTAAAATTATTGCAATAATTCTATTCTTACCTCACATTTTTCAGATAGTTTGAGTTAATCTTTCCAGAGTTTTTCTTGTTTTTGCCTTTCCTATGAAGAAAAACAAAAAGACAAAATTAAAGATTCATATGCTTAAATTTTAAAAAGTCATTTTGCAAATAATTAAAGTGATACTTTTATTGCAGTTATTAATGTTATAACGTAACGTAATGTTATAACGTAGAATTGTAGTAAATAGTTATATATTGTAAATTACAAGGTCTGTCTTAAAAAGAACGGAATTGGTACATTATTTACATTATTCAGACTATTGTCCTCATCTTTGTCGCCATATTTATTTCAACGTTTCGGCCGTTGTACGCTCTGGCTTTCTTCAGGTGGTTGGAATGTCGAACTTAATGTTTAATGGATATCAGTTATCAGTTATCTCCTGTTAATTTCACTCTGAAAGTTCTCCACTGCTCTAACCGGGTATTGAACTCACACTCTTTGGATCCTGTTACTGGATCTAACTAACGCCTTTATCCACTTTGTCATGTGTCCTTGAGGACGTCTGTGTATGAATTTCTCGGTATTATAAACCTAATGTCTTCAGCAACCATTTTTACCAGTGGTCATATTGCAATTTTTTGCTGCTATCATGCATGTTTTTACCAGAGCTCATATTGCAACTTTTGTTGTTATTATCGCTTTCCTCTGACACTCCTTATTACTGGTTCCCATATTGTATTCATTTCTATGCTTGGTCGGCTCAATAGTCCGAATGATGTAAATAATCAATATTTTCGTTTTGAAGCATTTTATGGTGTTGAACAAAAGTACCCCAAGGTCAACCTGTCCTGTGTTCAATTTTCTGATATTAGAATTTCTGACCCATACGCCGAAGTATTTGAAGCGTTTAGAGTTTATTATTTCCACATTCTGAATTTCTATGACGGATTCAGGATATGTTTCATAATTACTCTCATTTCAATTCCAGACCGAGTTTATGTTTTGGAAAATGTTTATATTGGATCACTTGGTAAAAAAAATGTTTTCTTTGTTCAAGCTCCTTCTTATATCAACTATGAATACCTGTATCATCAGCATAGCCGCATCTCATCATCAGTACACTGACCACTTAAAGGAAAAACAAGCGCGCTGTTTTCTATTAGCAGATTCATTTAGAATGTGATACGGGATCCTTAAATGATGCAGCCCCCATTTTTAACATCTGTGCTTGTAAACACTCAAAGGAAGAGATGCAACAGATTAGAGTCCTCATTTCATCCTTGTCGTACCCCTGACGAGGTTTGAAATAATTCGGTTTTCGGGTCATCACCAAACATATAAGACTTCAGGGACAAGTCCTTTATCAGATGAAGTTAATGGAGTTGGAACTTGGAAGATGGATTCTGATAAATAAGAAAAGGAAGTCCCTATTCTGGAGGTCATATGTTGCAGTGAGATCAACACAGCAGGTCTATTTGTTAAGTGAACTTGTTCGTGAAATTGTTTCGTACCATATATGCTATCATTGCACTCATGAAAGCTAAACTGGGTTGTTAGAACGTGGATTTCATAGAATTGGACAGAGTCTAGTTAGTAAAATATTAATTATAACTCATCATAATCGCCCCAAACAAGGCAATGAAGCCACTGAAAAGCAAGGGTTTACTGAGAGTGTGAGAACGCGAGAAAAGGAAATCACGAAGGAGAGAGAGCAATAATAATAATAATAACAGGAATTAAGGAGACTGAACTGAGATTGCATTTCAATTTTTAAAGATCAAAGTTAACCGGAAAACAAGAAACTGGGAGAGGGTTCCACCAGCAAGAAGTGTGAGAAGAGAAATTGTTAGTAAAGAACATACGGGTGCATCTAGCCTTTTCAACTATAAAATGACGAGACCTTGTTGCCAGTATAGTACTACGCTTAAAGTCTAGGTACCAAATAGGAAAGTTTATTACGATGAAAGTATTTATAGAAAAGACACGAGAAGCTACATTACAGCGGAGGGAAAGTGACTGGACCCGAGATAACAGGTCAGGACCAATAACATTGCATATTCCTTGGATTTTATCAAGAATAGTGCTTAATAAGCGAGAAATGTGAGAGAAACTGTTAGCATAGAACTTGCGGTTACATCTAGCAATTTCTACTGTAAAATGATGAGACCTTACTGCCAATTTGGTTGTACAATTAAATTCATAAAGTCTAGTTCAAAGGATTAAAGATCATAAGATTGAGTCACCCATATGTGATAATCTTCGGGATTACCTTTTATGTTACTCAAATGTATTTAGGCATGATAAACCCCCGCTGCTTTGAGGTGTACCTTTAATCACAGACAAGAAAAAAAATGGACAAAGAAAAAAGCTATTTTAAAAGTTCAGTCTCAATATCAAGTGAGCTTGATTATTTTTTATTGGCTTTCTCCTCTTCCTGGTCACTAAGTTCGTTGTTATTTAAGTTTTTTTTATATGGAATTTCTCGAGCTTTTTCTAACGAGTTTGATTGCCGGATGTAACAAAGTCATGACTTCTTAACGCTTTCAAAATGGCCGGTATCGACTTCCTGAATAAGTCATTATTGTTAAATTCCCCTTTTTTATGGCGACCTGAGTTGGCAATTTGAGTTCTCGTGATCGAGCAGTGGTTGCCTAAAGGGATCTTTGTTTTATTGCCATAGCTAGATTTAAAGCATTTTTTTCATGTTCAGTATGTGGCATATAATCAGAATACGGCACATTAAAACGCGAAAGTGTCTACAAGAATACGCTTTAAAGAAATAAATTCTACCGCGATTCTGGCCAGTGGCCAAGCATGTCCAAAAGATAAATGCTATTTTTTTTACAATGATGTTCATACTGCACAAGGCTTAAGAGCCACTCGAAGTAGAAGATTACAGATACAGTTTTCTTTTTAATGACAATGCGACTGGACAATAAATCAAAGATTTTTCTGTTATTTGTTGAGTAATATGTAGACACAGAAAGTAAGCTACAGACACTCCTCCATAAGGTAGTAAAGGAAAGCTAGAATAAAGAACTAACCATAAATTATAAGACGACAAAACGTATGGTTGTCAGCAAAAGGAACAACTCAAGATATGAACTACAAATTGGAGACATCAAAATTAAGCAAGTACAAAAACTTAAATATCTAGGAAGTGTTTTAATAGAAAACGGAAAATGTGACACTGAAATCCAAAGGCGTATTGGAATAGCGAAAGATGCCTTCCAAAAGCTAAACAAAGCATTAAGAAACAGGAAACATTTCATTAGAAACAAGAAACGAGTTATAAACAGTTATATAATGTCGGTCCTCCTATATGTCAATGAATGCTTGACAACAGAAATGTAGTTCTACAGAAGGATGCTGAAAATACCATGGACTGAACATATGTGCAAAGAAGAAGTTTTAGAGAAAACGAAAACAGGTAAAATGTTTCAAAGAAGACTTAAATAAATAACTAGTTGACTTCTTTTGAAAATGGACAAAATTTGGCATCGTGGTGTTGTCCATTACCTGCAGAAAAAAGTGTTCAGTTCCCAAGGAAATTTATGCTGACATGATTGCTACGTTAGGGGATAACGCTCCAGCTTTTAATAACAGTGCAAAAGTGGGCAGCTTAATTTCGTAGGGGAATGGAGAGTCTTGAAAAGGAACCAAGTCTGGACGTCTTGCAACAGCAGCAAAGAGGACAACATCGATCGTGTTCACCACATGGTGTTGGATGACAGGCGACTATAAAATCAAATAGCTAATGCTAATAGCATATCACGTGAGAGAGTTGAGAATACTGCCCAATAAACTCGGCATAAAGAAGGTCTTTGTTAGGTGAGTGCCAATTTTTCTGACACCTGATCAAAAGCACACTACGCTGATGACATCACGTAGAAATCTGACATTGTTTGAAGCAAATCCAACTGGTTTCCTTGAACGTTTCCTAACCCAGGATAAGTGTTCGGCTCTCATCCCTTTGAGCCAGACAAAAAGATAATCCATGCAGTGGAAATACCTCTCCTTACCTGCTCCAAAAATGCCACCAGAACTAAATCTGCCAATATATATATATATATATATATATATATATATATATATATATATATTAAAAAGAAAAACAGACCACTTTAAGCTACCATTATAATAATTTATTTCACCAGAGCCCTTTTAAAGGACGCCGGATCATTAAATAGCACTGACCCAGTATAAGTATCTCGTTCTCTCTTTCCGAAGTAATGAATCTCAATTTTGACAAAGCGTCAACATGCAGAATGGTACGGCCATTCACGAATTCAATATCAAAGTCTAACGCTGTTAACATATATCAAGGACCATCTTAGAATTTTAAAAGACGCTACTTTAGGAAGTTCATTCCTTTTTATTTTAATTCATTTTGCATTTGAATAATTGGAGATTATAGCTATCAGGGAAGCAAGTAAGAAGGGAGTTCCACAGATGGGAAGTGCGAGACATGAAGCTATTGGAGTAAAAGAGACGGCTACATTTACCCATTTCGACAGTGAAAGGGTGGGATGAGATGCCAACCTAGTGGCACGTTTAAATTCATGCAGTTTGGGAACTAGCGAAGATAGCTCGTTGGAGCAGTTACCGTGAAGGTATTTGTAGAAAAGACAGAGGGAGGCGACAAAACATCTGTGAGAGAGCGACTGTTGACGAGATGCCAGATCAGGACCAACCACATTGTATATCCCGTCTCTTGATTTTAGTCGAGGACCCTAAAACGAACGGCGGGGCCTCCACACCATATATGACAGCAATATTCCATGCAGAGGCGAATGGTTGATTTACAGATTTGAAGGATGGACTCGGGTGATAAAAAACTTCTGGCATGACATAGAGAACCAATTTTCCTTGCGGTAGGTGAAGCTATTGATCCAATGTAGTTTTTCTACCTCAGGTCAGCGGGCAGTGTGAGACCAAACAGTCGCAAAGAAGTGCTTTCGGAAAGTTGAGCATCAGACATTCTAATGGAAGGCAAGTGTTTGGTAAACAAGTTCAGTTATGGATGTAAGCCATCAACTGTAGATCGGGCAAAGCGGAAACCATATTGCATGATAGAGAGCAGATCATGGGATGTAAGGTGCTTAACTACTTCGGCGTTGATTAAAACTTCAAAGACTTTGCCGAAGAGTGGTAGGAGACTGTTAGGACGGTATTTAGATGGGTCAGAAGGGTCGCCAAAGTTCTTAAAGATAGCTGAAGACTTCCAACAGGATGGAAAGCAGGAATCGTTAAGGCAGTGTTTGTACAGTTTGGAAAGGATAGGATACCATGAAATTATTTATAGAAAAGGCACAGGAAAGCTACATTACGTCTGTGGGAAAGTGACTGAAGACTAGATGCCAGGTCAGGATCAATAATATTGCAGATTTTTCTTTGGACGTTATCAAGAATCTCTAAATATATAACAGGAGCACTAGACAAAATGTGGTAGCAATATTAGGGGTGCAGAATTAATTCCAAATTCATCCACCGCGACGCGAATGAGTCCGACACCTAAAAGGAACTATCTGGGAAATTTTTATTAGAAACTGAACGCGGGGCTTGAACTGCAAATTACCCTCGAGTTGAAATTAGGTCTGTCACCTCAATGAACAAATGATAGATTTGTAAATATGTAAAATAGATTCATATAAGGAAAATTGTTTAGCATGACACAGTAAACCAACTTTCTTATCAGCAGACCTAGCAATTGATTCAATATAATCTTTCCAATTCATGTCAGCGGGAGACAGTGAGAGCCCGAGAAGGCGCAATGAGTCACTCTCCTGGAGGTTAGCATCAGCTATGGTGATAGAAAGCAGAAAGGGTTCTCACAGACGATTACTAGAGAGCAGTTACATTTTGGATGCGTTAAAATTAACAAGTCATTCCTTGCCTCAGTTAACAACAGACTGTTGGCCATTTTTGAGATCAGGTGTCAATTTGACCTTGTCGTAATTGTTCTAGCGTAACAAGCTTGCTAAACATTAGACCGCCTCGAGGTACCCCAAGCGATGGACCGTATATATGTGTTCCAATTGAGGTCTGGAGTGAGCTTGATTTCCAATAGACGTTAAAGTCAAAGAGTCTCCTTAAGAGAAAACCCATCTATCATTCCATCATCTTTAGCAATAGATCGGATATATGAGTTCCACTTGAGGTCTGGGGTGAGCCTGAGTCCCAATAGACGTTTAAGTATTTACAAAATAGATATCAAGTTACGTTGGCGCTAAACAATGTTAACAGTCTTTATAAGACGCTAGATTTGAATAAGAAATTAAGATGGAGTAGTTTTTGACTTTATGGTAACTTTCAGACTGCAACTAAGAAGTTACTTACTGATCATTTGCTTTCCGACTCAGGTTCCAAATTGTCTTTTTCAATTCCTGCAAAGACGTTCAAAGAGGAATTTAAACGTTGACTTAAAACCACAATTGCTCACACACATAACACGCTCGCATATACCGATGACATGCACGCAAACATATGCACAAATATATGAACCAAAACATGCACACACACACAAACAGGTACACACGCGCGCACATACATACACAAATGTATATATACACACACACATACAAATGTACACACAAACACACAGACGTAGAAGCAGACACAGACACAGAGACGCTTGCAAAAATATAAATTATAATAAAATAAAAAATAAACAAAAGATATATAAAGGATAAGTAATTGTCACATCTCATCCTCGGAACCAACTCTTATGACTTCCTATTGTAAGTTTATTGTTATAACACACACCTGTTCTTGGTATAACGTAATTCGTGAAAGGATACTCTATAAAATAAAATTTAAAAATATTCTCTATACCTATTGCCTTAACACTTGTATAGTTAGTATGAAGAATAACTCTAATACGACTGGTATCTACTCAATCCTCCTACTGAGATGAGTTGTGGCACAAAGTCGGGATTATTGTGGGAAACCAGAGCGTTTCCACCAGGGTCATTGGTTAAAATTTGCCCAGCTGCCGTGAAAGCTGGCTCGGGTACATTACTCGTCTATTTTTTCTCAACGAGTCTCAATCCAAAGACAGAGCTCCGACTTAGTCACTCTCTACTTAAAGACAGAGGTTTCGTCTTTTGCGAGCCTGGGACTGACTCCGATGCGACTCGTATTTACCAGTCTCCCTACTGAGATGGGATGTGACAAAGGGTCAAGTTTACTGTGGGGAACCCGGGCCATTGGCACCAAATTTACCCAGCCGCTGCGAAAGCGTGCTAGGGTACTTTGTTTTTCTCGGCCGAGTCTCTGCCCGAAGACAGAAGTCTTATATTGTCGCGAGCCTGGGACTGGCATTTACCGGTCGACCTTCTGCAGACTAGATGTGACACAAGGTCAAGTTTTATGTGGGGAACCCAAGTGTTTCCACCAGGGCCACTGATCAGAATTTACCCAGACTCTGCAAAAGCGGGCTCGGACACAGTAGTTGTCTGTTTTATTCAGTCGTGTCTGTATCCGAAGACATAGCCCCGACTGAGTCACCCTCTGCCAGAAGACAAAGGTCTTGTTTTGAATTGTCTTGTCAAGAGCCCGACAGCCTGACTCTGATTCTACTGGTATTTACCGGTCGCCCTACTGCGGACTAGATGCGATACAAAATCAAGTTTCCTGGGGGTAACCCGAGTGTTTCCACCCGGGCCATTGGTCAAAATTTACCTAGCCATCGCCAAAGTGGGCTTGTGTACAGTACTGGTCTGTTTTTCTAGGTTGGGAAAAACAGACCGGTACTGTATACTATTCGAAGAGAGAACCCCGACTGAGTCATCATCAGCTCGAAGACGGAGGTTTGCCCAAAGTCAGAGGTCTTGCCCAAAGTCAGAGGTCTTGCCGGGCAGCGAACTGCCTGACTCCAATTCTTCTACTGTCGACCTTATAACATGGATCTTTTTATAGTATTGGACGAGTTCATAGAGTTATCAGGGGTGTACTCTTTACTCCACAACAGTAATAGTGGAGACGAAAAAGAAATTCTTTTCTCGACTTTCATTTTTCAAATAATTCCTTTTATTTACAATTTTTGAGCTTCTTTTGGGGAGATGCAAAAAGCTTTGTGTTTATTGCCTATCTTCAAAAAGCTCACACTATCATTGGAGATTACTATGCCAAATTTCTGAGGCAATTACAAAAGGTTATCAAAACCAAATGCCCAGGGAATCTGACGAAAGGGGTCTTGTTTCATCAGACGAATGCTCCAGCAGACAAGTTCTTGGTTTCATTGGCTGCTATGCTTGACTGAGGCTTTGAAATGGTTGATCATTTGACTTATTCTCCTGATTTGACACTACCTGACTATCATCTATATGTCATATGCATATATATATATATATATATATATATATATATATATATATGTGTGTGTGTGTGTGTGTGTTTGTGTGTGTGTGTGTGTGTGTGTGAAAATACACGTTTGCTCAAAAAGCAACGAGAGTTTATTGTCGATTACTTTTTCGATGGTTGAAGTCATTTTTCTAATTTCCGGTTCGTATTTGTAAATATATTCTCCCCAGGTGCAAGCACTTTCAACTATCACTAGTCAATTTCTTAATTATCGCGTTTTGCTGCGTTGGCTTTTATCGCGTATTCTTATAAGAGTTTTTATCTTCTACGTTTTAATGAAATATATTTCGTATGTTGCATTAAAAAATAAAAAAAATCTACCACTCAAATACATCCAACACACACACACACACACACACACACACACACACACACACACACATATATATATATATATATATATAACGTCGTATACATGGAAAAATAATGGAAGCATTATTAATAAAAAAGAAATAGCCATGACAGAATAATATCAACTATGAACGGCCACCGTATGCTGACCGTGTTTGGAAAATAAACCATCCCTATAATTCTAGATACATACATAAAACAATCATTGCATTCAGTTAAAAGTAAAAATGAAATCTATCCTTGATAATGGCTAAAAGTATAGGAGAAATCGCTCGGACATACAAAACATTTGGACAATTTATATATAATTTACTTGCAGAAAAGAAAAAAAAATATAAGAACTCATGAAAAATTAAATAAAAAAACTTAACAACAAAACTCAGTCGTTTTTAATGAAACTTACATAAAAGAGGGATTGCTACACACACACACACACACACACACACACACACACACACATATATATATATATATATATATATATATATATATATATATATATATACATATATATATAATATTGGGCAGCAATCTTTCATTTCTAGAAGACGATTTAATAAATTTAAATTGCATTTGTATAAATGATATTGTTTCTGAACATAGAATGTGTAAAAACTGTCCAAATCATCTGTGGATCTGAGAGCTTTCGACTAATCTATTATTCATTATCACGGATGCTTTTTTGTTTAACTGAATATATATACATATATATATATATATATATATATATATATATATATATGGATAGGGATATTATTGAGAATTGGCTTATTTTTTATTATTAATGCTTCTATTATTTTTAACCGTTTTTGCATATATATATATATATATATATATATATATATATATATATATATATATTCTGATCGTGTTGAAGTGGAGGGTATGTGCATAAAAGGCATTACAACATGAAAAACATCTACGTAAAACAAACGCAGACCACTGAGCACATCTCGCACCTTCGTAAGAAAAAGAATTAACGAAAGGGGTCATGTTTCTTCAGACAAATACCCCAGCACACAAGTTCTTGGCTTCAATGGCTGCTCAGTGTCAGAGCATCAAGGTGTGCTTCAGCGAATTGACCTGGAAGATGACACTCTAGCCAACAGATGCAAATTAAATTCGTACCTTCACTGAATGTCAGTGGTAGCCTCCTACATGTAAACAGGTGGTCAATCCAGCCGCGTCCATGAAGTGCACACGTGAGGCATTCGGATGACAGGGAGATATATAAGCCGCCCAACCGAGAGGAAAAACACGGAGAGTCACATCATTGTGAAAAGAAGATCACTGTCTAGAGAAAACGCCCCAAACATCACATACCAGGACGCCGATATTAATTGATATCTGGAGGTGGATAAACAATAATTTTACGCGTGAACGATATAGGTTCGTGTTCTTATTATTCTTTGAGACGATTACATTATACTGTAAATTGTAACCCTGCGCCAAACTAGAGGTACTTGGCGGGAAATCACTTTTGTGACGCGTTTGGTTGGGAATGAGTTCACTAGCTGTAGCTTTTGTGAGATAAAAACGCTTACCGTTGTTCTGGGACAGACACTTTTGTTTGGTAACTTTAGTAATTAAAAGAAGGCAATTAATTACCTGTGCATTGCTAGGGGCGTCACCTTCTCCAAATGTGCTCGTGACGACCAACAAGAGAGTTTCATTTGGCAGCTTTGAGATGTCATATTCGTCTGCACAAATAACCTGCAAAATAAAGCAAATATTATATTATTATCATGATTTCTCTTAAAAAAAGAGACAGCAGTTAACACGATAGTGGTACTCGATTTGACAAAGTACTAGTGCCATTATGGAATGGTCTTCTGTGGCATCTTTGACTAGAACCCATACGCACAGAGCTTCGACGTGGTGTAATGGTTTCGCAAGCGTGTCTCGTTAAATCAATTATGATTGCGTAGTTAGTTCGATCCTTGTACTTTCGGCCATGTGTTACGCTTAGAAAATTACAATACACTTAGAACTATAGATGTGTCATTTTGCAATTGCAGCCTTGCAATGGCCTCTCCATAGTGAAGATCCACCCTGTGTGGTAAAGCGTTACAGCCTTCTCGAGGATAGTTTCGTTAATATTACATGGGTAATAAACTAAACATGACGGAACTAGAGGGGTTTATGATTGATTTGCATTTTTTAAAGCTTATCAACCTTTTACAGGCTATTTAAAGCTAAAAAATATGTATAAGAATATTTTGGGGGATAATAAGAATTTACCGATAGAAGTTCTACTAACTAACCCATAACTAGTGAGGGGGGGGAGAGAACTGGATTTCCTACCTTTCTTAGGGTAATTTGCGTGTAAGTGAATAAAACGAAACCGATTGAAACCGGAACTAAGCTCTCCAATTTGTAATTCTGAGCCATTATTCATGACACCACCCGCACATTTAAAATTATAACAGCTGACATTCCCAAACGGTTACCCATCTAGGTACTGATCAGGCTCGACGTTGCTTACCAATGTTTCAACATGATATGGGTGTAATTTCTAAATCGAGTAAAAAAAATCCTTTATACATATTAAGTTTGTTGCATGCATCAAAGACCGATGTTATGGTCTGATGATATATTATGATCATCTACGCTTATGAATAGGATCAATTATTTTACAATGGACAAGCACCAATCCATTCACTCATAAACTGAGAACCACATGATTCCAGAAGGAGGGTCAACCAGTGCCAGTGCATGAGTCTCGTGGCCACCCCGAATCTATCACATACCAAACTGCTCTACAACATCTCAATTTTCATAAGGTAGTATTTATATAAAATACAAATTTTACTGGAACTTAATTATGTACAATAATAGATCATATGCAATATAGGTGAAAAATTCAAGTAGAAAAATTGAAAACAAATACAATGTCTCTAAATAAAAATTAGAGACATATCATAAGAGATGATTCCATCTTACATGAAACAATGCTTCACGGTTATTTTTATCATCAACTTGAGATTTTTCTTGATAAAATGTTGAAGAATTTAATATATTCAACATTAGAAATAAGAAAAATTAGTGAATAATTTAATGTTTTTTCGAGTCTTAGCATGACCAAAACAAATTCACGGATTTGGGTGGGGGTGGAGTGCTCGATAGATAGTACGCTTGTAATCGTGCAACACCCTCCCAGGTCTTCTAAGACTTTCAACACCGCCGCTGGTCGCTGAAGTGACCGCTTCAATCCAAAGCTAACCTTATCCCACGTTGTGATTTAAGTTTGAACATAAGGCAGCCAAGATCGAATCGTCGCAGGTATCTTCGTGTTGGGCTGGTCCAAGCAGGGCGAAGACGTACAGGAAAAAAAAAATAACACTCGAATAAATTGAACAAAAGTAAATACTATTTTTATATCAGTCCTCCGTATAATAATTGCTTTATATCAGAGTTCTCATGCAATTAATTATCAGCCCAACCCGAGTCTAAATCGGAAGTGATATTATTGTTATTGACTTGGAAAAATTTGGTTTGCTGCCTTGGTAAAATTTAGCACAAGGCTGAAGACAGAGGCTTTTACTGGCAGATAATCACGTGGTCCATTCTTTATTTCTGGTCTCGTCTCCCTCTCTTCTGCCTCTCTTCTTTCTTCTGCCGAATTCGCTTCGCGCATTCGTATTTATGGACATTCGCCCAAACTGGTGAAGTAAGAGAATTCGATAATTCTGGGGAATTTCCTTCTTCCACTCTCTCATATTACTACCTCTCACTATATTTCCTCATCGAGCGGGGGGAGCTTATCCACCCCCTCCTGGTATTTCAACTCAACTTTCGACCAGGTGAATCAACTCCAAATTCGTTGCTTACGGAAAATGAAATTTTCTCTTCTTTAGTGGGTTATTCTTCCATCCACTGTGTACTCTGCCACAACCGTGCAAAAACTAAGGTATAATAGTATACTCCAAATCTATTCTTATCTGGCATTTATGATTAGTAGTTACAATGATATATTCGTCATTACAATCGTTTCCCCAAAATGAAAATGACTTATGATTCAACCGAATAGCTATTTGATAAACCAATTTACTTTATATATAGATATTTGTTTATTGCCATCAAGTATTCATCGTAATATTTTTAAGAAGGGAAGGCCAGACTGCATGACCGATAAATACATAAAGTAACATGGTTTTTATATTATAGAATAGATAATACTTAAAAACTACATAATGTCAGATTGTATTATGCAAATCAATATTCTCACAATTATATTGGTATTAACGTTTACGAAAAAGTTTTAGGATATATGTTTAAGATAGACAAACCCTAGTTTGTAATACATACTTTTTTTTAGTTTAAATATTTACAATAACTTATTTGGTGGTATGAGATTTTATTTTGTAATTTGAGTATTGCGTTATTAAGTTATTAAGTGATCTTTTTTCTTTTATTTGCTGGACGTTGGTGATCATGGATCTCCACAATTTCCTGTCCTTTTTAGCTCTTAGTAATGTTTTTTTTTGCTGTCTCTTCTAATCCCTATTCTGCCAACCATTTACACAAGCTTTTCGAATTTTAGTCGAAAAAATGTGTGTTTCTTAATTACAGTGTACTGTACATATTATTGGCAGTAGATACCAAATATAAATACAAAATGCTATAATTTTGTATTTATTTTTTTAATTGTAGGTAATTAGTTGATATTTTAAAATACTTACCATACAATTTACACATTAACAGATAGTTCAAAAGCGCAGCAGAGCATTCATTTCACTATATTAAGATCAATTGTATGTGTTCACTAGATGATTGTGTGAATCTGCCAATAATTGTTTCTACATCCAATTCATTCATCGAACAATTCCTTTTCAATGGATAGCAACATGTATGATTCCAAATTCTCCTCAGACAGCGAATTTCTTAAGTTTGTCATTATGATCTTTAGCTTTGAAAATGTCCTCTCATTTTGGACTTGAGTAACTGATATTGTGCAGATGACTTTACAAAGTACTTATTCCTTTTTATTACTGAAACAATTATCTGTGATTTTTTTTTATTGCATTTTTATTTAATATAGGGGGCACTCCACCAGGGGCCGAATTACCATTGGGCTACCTAACACCCTGGTCAGTCCGCCACTGTTAATATTACAATTTTTTTCGCTGTAATGTTTTCAATTAGCGACCAAGCATCACCAATTGTTTTTTTTTAACATCATCACTGGTTTTCTTCGTTTTGTAATTTTATTCTATTGGGATTTCCATTTGAGAGGTTATTGTATAATCAATAGGCTACACTTACCTCCGTGGTAAAAGTATTTCTGTATATGATAGCAAGAGAATGTGCGAATTGAAGTGATTTGCCCGTCTCTGTGGCGTAAAGAATTGTGCACCGAATTCTTTTCTTAGCAATCTTTGACATCAGGAAACCAGTAAATAAAACTGCACTAGAAACAAGAAAATAATAATAATAATAATAATATGATATATTAAGAACATATCATTAATATATTACTCTTGTCTTTCCACTGTGTGCGCGAAAAGATCCAAAGAGAAAAAAGTAAACATTAAAAATGACAACTACAATTTCTCCTTTCGTCTAAACATTGGATTTATTCCGATTTTATTACTTCTAAAAATTGAGCAAAACATCCAATCATTCATATTTATTATCCAATCAAACACATCGTATGGACAGAAGTATAACTAAACGAAGATACAGTTTTGACCAATGAGAACGCACAAAACAGTCTAATTTTTGGAGGCTTTCCAAAAGCTAAATAGAGTATTATGACACAGAAACATTTCATTAGAAACAAAGAAAAGAGTATTGAAATGTTACGGGGTATCTTTCCTCCTGTATGTCAGCGAATGTTGTGCAATCTCCTCAGAGATGAAAAAGAGACTTGAAGTAACAGAAATGTGGCTCGACAAAAAGATGCTGAGGATACCATGGACCGAACATGTGAGCAACGACAAGGTTTTGGGGAAAATGGAAACAGAAAGGAAACATATATTTAACATCAGGAAGAGGCAGTTGATATTTCTGGGGCACATAATGAGGAAAGATGGCTTGGAAAACCTGATACTCACAGGACATATTGAAGGAAAGAGGAACAGAGGAAAGCAGCGCGAAATATATTTGATGATCTTGAGTAAATGCTTGGTAGAAAAAGTTTGGGAGAAATAACAAAAAGAAAAAACTTATTAAGAGCTAAAAAAACAGGAAGATGTGGAGTGCCCTGATTGCTTACGTCCTGAGGGGACACGGTACATAAAAGAAGCTGAGTCGGTTAGATAACAAGAAACAAATATATTTTTAAAAATAAGTAACTTAGGATTTTGACTAGTTGCTTAATTTTTGTGTAAGAATTCGGACTCGAGTTGCCACTTGACCCAAGGGGTTACTGAGTGTGAGACAAAATGAAGAAAAACATTATTTTTGAAGATCAATATTGACAGAGAAGCAAGAAGCCGGAGGAGAGTTCCACACGCGAGAAGTGCGAGAGAAGACACTATTAGTATAGAACATACGGATACATCTATCTATTTCAACTATAAAAGGATGAGACCTTGCCGCCAATCTAGTACTGCCCTTAAAGTCTAGGTAGGAAAGAAGAAAGTTCATTACCATAAACGTATTTGTAGAGAAGACACAGGGAATCTACGTTATGGTGGTAGGATGAGATGCCCGGTCAGGACCAATAACATTGCAGATTCTACTTTAGATTTCATCAAGAATCTCTAAAGACATAGCAGAAGCACCGGACCAGATGTGGCAGCAATATTCAAAGCATGGACAAATAGTAGACTTATAAATGTGCAAGAAAGATTGTCTAGCACCAACACAATGAACTAACTTTTCTATCAGTATACCTAGCAATTGATTCAATATAGTTCAAAAGAAATGTAATAATAGATAAGAAAGTCATTCCAATGTAACTAAATTTGTAGAAGTCTTGACTATAATATAAAATGACGTACTTAGTGACTAATTTTGTTTAATTTGTTTTAGTTGCTTAATCCACACTGATGTTAGTAGAAGATTTTCTTGAGCTGAAAATTTTTACACGTAGGTACATGCACACTAAACTCAGCAGGCGTTTTGGGATAGCGAAAGGTGCCTTTCAAAAGCCAAGAAAAGTATTAAGAAAAAGGAAAATTTCGTTGGAAATTAAGAAAAGAGTAGTGAACAGTTATATAATATCAGTCATCCTAATTGGCAATGAATGCTGAACAATTTCCTCACTAAACGTAGTTCTACAGAAGGATGATGAGGATGTCATTAACTGAACACGTGACAACGACGGAGTTTTATAGAGAATGGGAACAAAACAATACGCACTTAGAAGGAAAGAAACAGGTTAAATTCCTATGGCACATAATGAGGAAAGAGGGCTTAGAAAATTTAACACTCACAGGACAGATTAAAACGAGCTGGTGTAAATGGTTGGCAGAACAGGGATTAAGAGAGATAGCAAAAAGAAAAAAAAAGCAATATTAAGGGCTACAAAGGAAACGATGGGGAGCCATGATCATTAACGGCCCAAAGGAGCACTATATAAAGAATAATTATAAAGAGGATTTTTATTTGGACTTAATTTATCGTTACTCTTTTTAACCACAAGTACATTTTTATTTCATCATTGATTGATTCATTTGTTTTTTACAGGTTATTTTTGAACCCAGAAAATATTTTTAGATTGTAAGCATGTTTTTTAGACATAATAATGATTTAGGGATATAAGTATGACTGATTAACCCATAGCTGAAGGAGAAGAGGTAGATTCATACATTTCTCAAAGGTATTTGCGCGTAAGTGAATCTAACGAACTCCACGGGCATTGGAACTCGGCTCTCCGATTAACAATTCCGAGCCATTATCTATTTACACTACGCGCATATCCAAGCTTACAACACCTCGTATTCCAAAGCGTATCTGTCTAGGTACTGACCAGATTCGATGTTGCTTAACTTCGCTGACAGTACGAAACCGGTGTTTCAACGTGATGTGGACATTTTATTTCAATAGTGTACAAAAATTGTACCTGATTTTTAGTTGCCTGTGATATAAAATTATATTCGTTCTCATTGAAATTCTTGGATTTCCTTGTCTCTAACGTTCAATTAATTTATATTTAGTAAATTTACCTAATATGCAAAGAAACAACCAATTGACATTGGAAGTAAAAATGGAGGCCTGGGGTGTTACATTTGATTCATTCACAGAATAATGATCATATAACGGGAGAGAACTATGATAGAAAGGTTTATTCTCCCATTTGTATTTCCCCCATTATGGGCATTATTATGTCTATGATATAATAACACCGTACTTGACGAACGGAATGGAATAGCTCAAAGGAAAAGCAATGACAAACATATTTTGTTCTCAGGTAGATTTTTATACCACAGACATAGCCAGAACCATATATACATGTTTCCCACTAGGAGAATAATAAATCACATATATCTACGCAGCAACACTGTGTAAAGAGAAACAAAGATATTGACTCTTACATATAATATGGAAATTATTTTGTTTTTGGTTAAACCATATTTAGGGGAAATGGCGAGTCTTGGGTTTTCCCAAATACGGACTGCAAGCCGGGGCTTCTTTCTATATCTGGGAAAGATATACTCCCAAACGGGGCCGTGTGTGTGTGTGTGTGTGTGTGTGAGAGAGAGAGAGAGATTTAGCCACAGCCCGGGACGTTTGTTCCAGGCTAAAAAGCAATTGCTAGTTTTGGCTGCTGTAAACAAACTGAATGACTGGCCACTCTCGTCACTGCATAAAGTAACGTCACTAAGCTGTCGTCACGTGACTCATGTACTTATCTCCACCAAAGAGAGTTATTCCCCCTTCTCCCTACAATCACACGTCTCAGAAATTCTGGAACTCTAGGAAGCCAGAAAGTTCCTGAATTTCTAGAAGCTAGCTTCTAGAAATTCAGGAAGCTAGCTGGCCGAAATTTAGTAATCCAAACAAAAAGATGATAAACAAGTCTACATAATTCATAGAATAATTATGATACGCTTTTTCAGAGCTTCATCAGCCCTTCCCAAGCCTCCACCCCAGCAACGGACCTGCAAAACTAACACCCAATTTAGGATTAGGAGTTCAAATACACTTACAGGGCCACTTGTCGAATCGTTTTCCTCTTGAAATTTTCCCACTTGTATCCAATCCAGGCCACTTGCTGAAAAAGAGAAAGTAAAAATTTTATTTGGTGTGACGAGCATATCCATGAATTTGTCAACTTGTTTATTGTTTATTACAACAAGGTGCAGTGTGCAGCATGAATGTTGTTACAAAAAATAAATATATACAGGAGAACGTATCTGTTCTAATAAGATTTGCTTATGGGGAACCGTTATTAGATCTGACCTGCTTAATCGATTCGGCCACATAGGACTTACGGGTAAACAAAGCCCGAAATAGAGGATGCAGGTTCGAATCCTACTGGAGCACACATATTTTCTGACAAGATTTCTCGGATATTCAGGTCAGTAAACGTTATCAAATAAAATACTCGAATATGAGTATCCATCTAAAATAACTCTTTAAGTAAAACAAATTAAAAATATGTCGAATTTAATCAATTTCATATATATATATATTATGAAATTGATTAAATCCAACATATATATATATATATATATATATATATATATATATATATATATATGTATGTGCACACATATTTATATTTAGTGTACTGGGCAGCAGATCCTTATTCAAACATATATTGTTAAATGTAACAGAAAACGAAAGTCTATTATGTTTGGTCATGAGCCGTTCTAAGCTTCGTATGGTGGCTTTAGTTTCGGGAGAAAATAAAGGTAAAAACTGTCCAATTTTGATATTTTTTATTATGCTGTTCCTCGATTTAAGCTTTCGGCTCACATGAGCCATCGTCAGAGTGTTTATATGGACATTATGACAGAGGCGTTCACCATCAAAGATGGCACCGTGTTATGTTTGCATAGAAGTTTGCTATGCGACGATAGCGGGTCTTAAATTAACGTCATTAATATTCATTAACCTATTAATTAACGTCATTAATATTCATTAACCTATCGGATTACAAATGAAATAGAATTACTTAATCTTGGACTAAATTTTTATGTCACGCAGAAAACTTATTTAATGTTTAATCAAATGCAAATTGAAGCTTTATACCAACAAGTACTTCTATTGCAACAAGATAACCATATTTGCACACAGGTAGGTTTAAAAGAATTACTTAAAGCCGAATCTGTTAAGCTCCGATACCATAAAAATCCGAATGGAATTATAAACACTCCTTTAATAAAAGCAGACACACAACTAAAAAAATAACATTATTGTTATCCGACGAACTGATAAAACTAATACTTTCATTATTTTAAACAAACATTAGTACAATTCAAAATTACAGGCCATTTTGGACGATCAGAATAAATTTTAAAAGTTAACCAATAACACTATCAATATCAATAAGTTTATAAATTTCAAAAGATTGTAGGTGACTATCAATCTGGCTACTTTTATGGAAATGTAGAAATCCATTAAAAGTTAACTAATAACACCACCTCCCAACTTAAAAGCGATATCAATAAGCTGATTACTGCTAACAATGCTGACACAGGAACCTATAAGTTTCAAAAGATTAGAGGTGACTATCAACCAGGCTACCTTTATGGAAATGTAAAAATCCATAAAAAAGATCATTCCCTCCGACCTATCATTTCCCAGACACCTATATTAGTATATCACCTTTCAAAAACCCTTAACAAATGAATACCTCCCAAATAAATATTGTATTAACGCCACAAACGAATTTGTACAAATTCTTCATGCTGTAAAACCAAATAATCAAGTAATCGCATCTTTGGATGTACAAAATTTATTTACTAATGTTCCCGTCCATGAAACAATTGACATCATTATCCGTGATGTATACATTCACACTTCTCTCCCATCCATCAATATTAAACCCACTATTTAAAAAAAAAATATTATTAGTATGTGCCACTCAAGTACCTTTTCATGAACCCCTAGGCAATATTTCTACTCAAATAGACGGTATCGTGATTGGATTTCCTTTAGGCCTGCTTTTTTTCTAATTATTTTATAGCACATTTCGAAAATAAAATACTTAATGACACTAATAAATCCCCTATATATGTAAGATACATCGATGACATTTTCATTTCAGCTAAAAATAGTGATCAAATTACATCACTTAAAAACAAATTTGGGTCACTCTGTCCTCAAATTTAATATTACTAATAAAATTCCGTTCCTTGATATATTTATCTATTCCAGATTGTATAAATTTATTACTTCTCTGTATGGAAAACCCACGAACATTAATTCGTATCTTCTTAATTATAATAGTGAATGCACCCAACGATATAAGTCAGCCGTTATAAAAAAAAAAAACTTAATCCAAAGCACACAAATGATATCTTCTTCCAAAACCATATTCTATAAAGAATTACATAACATCAAACATTTGTTAATAATTCCGTCATTGATCAACAAATTAAAATTTATCTCAATAAACTAATTAATACCACTAACAATATTAATAATAATAATAGTTGTAACACTTATAGTGTATGTCAAAATAAACATAATACTATTAACTTATACTATTGTAACCAAATGCATAATAATTACAAACACGATAAAACAACACTCAAAAACATAATAGGTAGAAATGCTAAACCATTTAAAAATAAACAAGTTAGATGCATCATCTATTATAAAAAAATTAAAACAATTGACCTCATAGTCTCCAATAACCCTACAATGACACTACTAAACCCCTTACAAAAAAACAATGTAATGTATCAATTTACATGCCCTTTCAGAGAATGTATTTCTGATATTAATAATAATTCCACTACATATATTGGTTTAACTACTACCACGCTCTCCCGGAGACTTACCTGTCACCTTTCTGATCTTAGTTCCATTAAACAACATTTCTTAGAAAAACATATCCATTTGCATAATATTAGACAGATAGTTGATAACACAACAATACTCATAGATACACACAGTAAAAAGAACCTTCAGATATTGGAGGCCATCTACATTAAAACAAAGCAACCCACACGCAATAAAATTACATTTAAAACCCGTCACACCATGTTACAATGCATTTAAACACGTGGTTCTGTTGATAAAATGTCTTTCTCTCACGTGGTCATGTACGATTTTATTACGAATTTACGACCTGCGTCTGCTATTCCGCGAACGTTATCGTCGCATAGCAAACTTCTATGTAAACATAATATGATGTCATCTTTGATGGTGAACATGTTATAATGTCCATATAATCACTCTGATGATGGCCCATGTAAGCCGAAAGCTTAGATCGAAGCACAGCACAATAAAACAAATATCCAAATGTTGGACAGTTTTTGTCTTTATTTTCTCCCGAAATTAAAGCAACGTTACGAAGATTAGAACGGCTCATGATCTAACATAATAGACATTCGTTATCTGTTATATTTAACAATATATGTTTGAATATATATTATATATTATATATATATTATCACTATTTACTTTCTTTTATTTCTTAGTAACCTTTATTATTTCTCTTAATGTCTTGTTAGATGCTTTAGTATCTTTTCAGATAATACATAATCTTAGCAGAATTTATCTGAATCGTATTAACTTTCAACAAAGCCATTCTATTATCAGTATATTTAATGAGTCAGTATTTCAATCGAATATTTCAATCGTGTAAATAGGCTCCACATTGCATCACTTTCTGTAGTCCTTTTTGGTTTGAGTTATTCGTAGTTAACACAAATATTTACTTGGTATTCATAAGATGGTTTCAGTCGATAATTAAGCATTTCCATGTGGAAAACTGGAGTGAGGCTTCCGCTGATAGGAGGAACGATCCACACCCAATCTGCTGGACATCCACCTCGAGATATTTGTTCCTGGTGCATATGCGTGACGAATGTCTCTGTTGCCGTATGATGATCCATGATAGTCACTCCGGCCATCTAGGAAAAAAAAGTAAAAGAAATGAAAGACATGTTTGAAACTCATTGGTTCATTGTAGAGCTTCCCTAACAGATTTTTAGACCATTGATCTCTTCATAGAATACACGATCTTTCAACGACCTACAGACGTGTACAAATATTGCATCAATAATAATTCTTTTATTTAAGAGGTGGAAGTTAAATTCAAACGAAAAAAAATTAAAACAAATTATTTGAATTAAAAAGATAATTTCCCCAATAAAAAAAGAGCTTATTGTTTGTCTATTTGATTGATTGACAGATTTTTTCCAGCTTATCGACCCTTTGTGGGTTATTTAAATTTGACATATATTTTTGATTGTAAGAAGAAATTTTTTTTTTGCGATTGAATATTTCGCGAACATTTTTTTTTGCAGATAAACAGTTTTCTAGATAAAATTTCTATTTCCAACCTTTTTTTTCGCCCATGGACTACTTTTATCCTTAATTTTTTGATGGACCCCCATAACCATTCGATGTAAAAAAAGAAGCTTATTTTATTTTTTTATTAATAGATAAGTTTAGGAATTGTATTATAGAAATAGTAAATATATATGCTTTATTTTGAAGTAAAACTAATTTGATGAAAATAAACTTTTATTTAACAACTAAATTCTATGGAACATTTATGTACATAAGTTATGATAAACCACTTTAAAAATATGTGAGCAATGGATAAAGTAAAAAAAGTGCGGATTTATTCAATGAGATTCCTGATGCTGCTCTGCAATTTTTTTATTTTATATATTCGGTTGCATCGATGTAAATGATAGTCGAAGATGACCCCTTTTCACAATATCGAGTCTATTTCCATATTAATTAATTTATATTAATATAATATCTTATTTTATTTTATCAATATTTAAAATAAATATTATTATTTATTATTAATGTGTTAAATTAATTTATATAATAAATTATAATCTTTATATAATTTTCCGTTATATACATAATCCTTCCTTTATATATCCTTCTCAGTTTTTATTCAACTTTTATAATCAAAACATTCAGATAACAATGATTTTTCTAGATCAAATTTTATTATCTAACAAAGTGGTTCCCAACCTTATTTTTATCCACTTTTAGCCTTATGTTTTTGATGGATCCCAATTACCAATAGATTGAACAGAATGAATCCAATTATAATACAGTATAATATTATTGTCTACTCAGGATTGTAATGTTGCTTGTTAGAAAAACTCTTACCCGAAAACTATGCAACACAGCAACGTTGATTTCTATCATGGTGATATCTTTCCACAGGGATGTTTGGCTTGTTGTATCCAAATCCATGTATTGTGCCACTTCCTGTCAAACAACACATAATACAATAGTTATCAAAAACACTGTCTTTGTTCCAGACGTGATTTAATTCTTTTTTGTTAAATGGATTCTAAATTATATTAAAGCATTTGAAGCTTCAATCTCTAAAGTTAAGCATTGTTTTTTGTTTTTTAAAAGTAGTATACGAGTCTCTATTTAGAGAATTAGGACACTTGTAGTTAGGATCATAAACAAACAATTAAAATTTATGGGATAATAAAGAAAATGGGCTTGAGGAATTTGACATTCATGGGACATATTAAAGGCGAAAGAGGTAGAGAAAAACAGTAACACACCCAAAGAGTTTATGTAGATGGATAGAAGTACATAGATTGGGAGGTATAAAAAGAGGACAAACACTGCTTAGGAATAGGAAGTTGTGGAGACTCATGATCGCCCATATCCTGAAGGGACAACGCACCTAACACAAGAAGGATAATGTGGAAAGATAATGTGTGTGTATGTGCCTGAGTGCGTGTGTGTTTGTGTGTAAAAATCGAAAAAACTCAAATTTCAAATAAGAACGAAATTTAGAATTTTGAAAATCCGAAAAATTATTGATTCGAAATATTATCATAAAAGATTATATGACCCGAGTTTTTAAAGAACAAGCCAACGAGGAAAATACGAAAAATGGTTACAACTTGGAGAAAAAAAAATGTACAATTCCATTATGCATAGAATGCTTCAACGAGTCTACTGTTAGAAATATCAAATTTAGGAACTTAAAATTTATTTTATTTCTCTTTTTTGCTTTATTTTGAAAGAGTTAAAAAATTATTTTTATAGATTTGTTTGAGATAACGATATATATATTTTACATATCAAGAACAGTATTGGGGAAATTGTATGACAAAGTGGAAAGCAATTTACTTGTGACGTGTTTCCTCTTTCAGAACTTCATTGGACTAAACTTGTTATGTTGGTAGGACTACACATGTGCATGACAGAGGGGGCTGTGAATTTTAGATTTTGTTTGTCTCTAGCCGAATTCATTTAGAGTCTTTTTCTTTTTCTTAAGTAGTTGTAACATACTTCCGTTATATTGAAGAAGCTCTACTTAGATATCCTCGTGATACTAATTTACTTGACGTCGTAGATGAACTAAAAAAGGCGGACACACAAAGCAATTTACATACTAAATGGAAGAACACAATTCCTTACCGTTCCTAGATATCAAGCTGCAACAGTTTAAAACTTAGAGTCCACCATAAATCAACCGATAAAAACGACCTAATAAATTTCTATTTTCATCATAACAACAAAATAATCATCGGATTCTGTCTAAGAGCAATAAAAATATGAGAAATACATTGAAAACATTTTCAAACTTCTCCAGTAACCTAATTATTTTATATTCAATGGAAAACAAAATGCCCATAAAACATTCTAAAACCAATGAATTAAAAAAACATTATCCTGCCGACTAATTCTATCACATCTACAACCGAAAAGAATCTATTTAAACTCAACATAAACGTTGTTATTACTACATCCAAAACAATAAAAGACTTAGTCAATACTAAACAAAACAATAAACTAAAACCTGAAGGAGTTTAATACATCGCCTGTAATAATTGTCATAAAAATACATAGGAGAAACCTCAAGGAATTCTAAATTACAGATTATATGAACACAAAAGAGACATTTTACAAAATAATACGTCAAATAAATTGGTTGCCCACCGTAACGAAACTCATCATAATTTTGACATAAAAAATGCTACTCTGATCAAAGGAGAAATAATTCCCTATGGCGTAAATGTCTAGAGAATGACTAATCGTTCCACCATCCACTTGCTCAAGTTCATTAAGTATGTCATGCGTTTTTTCCCCTGCACCTTTTACTTTCTATCCGTCATGTGAGTATCAGATTTTCCAAGCCCTCCTTCCTCATTATGTGGCACAAAAATTTCAGCTACCCCTTCCTGATATTAAGCATAAGTTTCCTCTTTGTTTCCATTCTCTCCAAAACTCTCGTCCTTGCTCACATGTTCGGCCCATAGTATCCTTAGCACCCTTCTGTAGAACAACACTTCTTTTGCTTTGAGTCTCTTCCTTATCTTTGAGAAAATTGTCCATTATTTTCTGCCATACAAGAGAACAGATATCACATAGCAGTTCAGTACTCTTTTCTTTGTTTCCGTCGAAACTTTTTTGTCTCGTAATACTCTTCTTAGCTTTTGGAATGCATCTTTGGCCATCCCCACACGTTTTCGGATCTCAGTGTTGCACTTTCCATCCTCTGTCAGAATACTTCTCAGATATTTCAGTTTCTGTACCTGCTTGATTTTAGTGTCCCTGAATTGTAAATTGCACTTTGGGCTCATCTTTTTCCTGATGACCATGCATTCTGTCTTCTTGTAGATTATGCTTAGTCCCTTCTTCTCGCTCTCTTTCGCCACCTTCTGTAGGAGGTTTTGTAATTTCCTTTCTGTGTCTACTATCAACACTGTGTCATATGCATATCTTATGTTGTTAAGATTGTGGCTGCCAATGATGAATCCTGGTAGGATTTCCAATTCTCTGAGAATTGCCTCACTGTATCGGTTAAATAAGTCCGGTGAGAAGACACATCCTTGCCTTACACCCCCTTTATATTTTCGTATGAACTCATTTTTTATCCGTATGCAGGTGGTTTCCTGCCAGTAGAGACTTTATTCTGATGTCTCCCCCGAGAATATGTCAAGGTTGTCTTGCTCACTCTTAGGAAAAAGTTGCCGATTCTAGTTTAAAGGGTTAAGAAAGCAATATATTAAGTCAGAGTTACTTCCCTTGTCCAGTTATTGAACATAATAGAAATCAAATGTAGCAGAAGACATGGTAGGTTTAGCACTACTACTGCTGCTACTGTTAATATAATAATACAGTTTGCTGTTTCTTCTTGACATTTAAATAATATTTAATAATCGCATGATTGAAATATAGAAGAAAAGATAGAAAATTCATTCAGACATGTCAGGTGCCATTTTAGGCGATCATGTGCTTAGGCGATCATGTCTCTTTCGATTCATGGTCAACCAGGCAGAAAATTTTCCCACAGTAGGATGTCATTTCTTTCTTCAGTAGACAGGTTACCAACCAGTGTGTTTCCTTTATCCAATCCATAGCTGGTTGGGGGTGGGGAGAAGAGATGGATTCATACCATTCCCAAGAACATTTGCGCGTAAGTGATTGTAACGAACCCGACTAGAATTCGAACTCGGCTCTCCCACTTCCAACCCCGAGCCGGTATCCATTAAATCACAACGCACATTCGGACATAGAGATGTAAATTCCATTGAAAATATAACTCACGGGTATGATGTTATATCTCTGGTTGTCACAAAGATCCCGGGCTCCAATTTCAGATGCCATGTACCAGCCATTGAATGGGGAACCGGGAAATTCGAGTCCACCAACTTCAAAGCACATATGTGACACGGCGGGCAAACCGAACCATTTTAGGCCAAGCTCTTCAAACCAAGGGTACCTGTCAAATAAAAAAAAAGACCAAATTTCCCGTGTTGTTGGAGTCCTGGTTCTTGGAAAACGTTATTTCTGAAGATTTTCGGAATGTGCAAACCATATATTTACAAATTATATACATAGTTGTATATTTGGCAGCACTCTCTAATACAAGTTTCACTGAAAATGATTGACAATACACTTATGTTTTTTATTTTATTATGTTTTGTGTGCAAACAAGAGACTTCTTTTGGGGACTTAGCGTGCGTTAAAATTGTCCACATGTTTGATTATTCCGAACACATACGGATAATATGTTGGCTATTTTCAATTACGTCGGACATACCATGAGATACATAGGATCTATCAGTAAGGTTCACCGTGTACAAGGCCCGGGGGCCACTCGAGGTAGAGGATTACGTTGAGAAGTAGTTTATATGGATATGAGGGGAAGATAACGGTTAACTCTACACTTGACCAGGTTAAGATTGCAGTGGTGATTTTCTAAGCGTAGCTTTGATGTGGTAGAAGGTCGAACGTATGGTGCACCCAGTGAGGATCGAACTCACTATTCAGTCGTAATTCTTCTAGCGAGTCAACCTTGCTAACTATTACACCAATTTGAAGTGACCCAGATTAAGACTGTAGTGAACGGGGAAACATCCTCTTGGGAGTCTGTTCCATGGAGATATCCAGAATAACACAACACTGTGCGAAGTAAGTAATAATAATCATAAATAGTTTTTAGATATGTACATAAAATGGGCTTTGATGTAAATGCAACAAAAAACGAAAATATTTATGATACATTCTAATAAATATCTCTTTATATCACAATAAATAATTACACACTGTAATGATTATGGAATGGCAGGTGACCTTTCCGGCAACTGTGTAAACATTATCGTTAATTCTTTTTTGTGTTATATCACGTAACTGATTTGTATATCACTTGACACGGGAATGAAAGAAAGAATAAGATTTATTTTTAAGACAATTTCCCTGTCTTTCACTTTCACCCACAAGCAGAGAAAGGAGAGAGACAGCGAAAGGAACAAGTGATAGAAGAGGAGGAGTAAATAATAATAAAATATTGACGCAGTTATAGGCCAATATTCGATATTTTAGTGTCATTGTGAACTCTGTGATCTTGTTGATGGCTGCATAGTATGTGCTACGCCAGAACTCCATACGATTTTGAATTCAGATTTGCCAGTCAAGGTTAAAGATTCCAGTCTGTCCTACTATTTAATCCATAGCTATGGGAGATACGGATTCATACCTTTTCTAGGGGTATTTGCGCGAGTGTGAATGCAACGAGCTTGGCTGACGTTCGAACTCGGTTTGCCGATTTATCGTTCCGAGCTGCTCACTGTTACACCATATATATATATATATATATATATATATATATATATATATATATATATATATATATATATATATATATATATATATATATATATATATATATATATATATATATATATATATATATATATATATATATATATATATATATATATATATATATCAAAAGGGAAAACGAGCATACTAAAGAGACATTTGACTTTGTTTTCACTTTCCGACGATATCATTCGGACGTGTTTTCTGCAGCTCTACTCATGAAGTAGAGATTCGGCCATCCCATCTCAGCGCGAGGCTGACTTGAGCACGACCATGTTTACCCGTTTTTATCTTTACTTCCCATAAAAAATTCTTAATCAAAAAGGAAAACGAGCATACTAAAGAGACATTTGACTTTGTTTTCACTTTCTGACGATATCATTCGGACGTGTTTTCTGCAGCTCTACTCATGAAGTAGAGATTCGGCCATCCCATCTCAGCGCAAGGCTGACTTGAGCTCGACCATCTTTATCCGTTTTTATCTTTATTGTCCATACTTTCTGAACCAAAAAGGAAAATGGACATATTCAAGAGACATTTAAATTAGTTTCAGTCACCATAAAAGATATAAACGTCTGTAGCAGTCCTTTTGTATGCTTCTACTATCATATTTGTTTTTATTCTGAACACGCACCTAAAAATACGCACAAAACCAACAAGCTTATTAATAACCACAAAATTGATTCCTCATCTGAAAAATTAGGATGAAAATTAAGAAAATGCGATCTATTAATTATAAATTTATAATCTAAATTGTTTACACCATACCTTTCTGGAGTTAGTGTAAACAGTTACATTATTTTTTCCCATACATTGTAAACATTTTCTTCATTTTAGATGGAAATTTTCCAATATACTTCAGTAAAATTCAACACTTCAAAACTGTAATGTATATACAGTTTAAATATATAAAAAAAGAAGGCGTTAGTTTAAAATGACGCCAATAGGATATAGACTAATTACCCTTCATTAATGCACAACAAACCAAAAGAAAAGTTCACCTTGGATGTGTGAAATTCACTTCAAGAATGAGCTCTTGGGGGAGTTCAAAAATCTCTGGTTTTCCGCCATTTGCTTGCAAGACCAGCGGCAAAATGTCAAAGCGGCCACCATTTCCTTTCCAACCTAACCGTTCACACACCTGAAATACAATGAACAAACGGAGTATGACATATATTTACTATAATGCCTTAACAATAGCGTATATGGAATCTATATATAATAATTAAATATATGTATTACGTTAAAAAAAAGTTATAAGACAAACCAGAATAAGTATACAATACTCACCCCCAAAAGACAAAAACAAAACAAACACTGACAAATAAGTGTGAGTATGTCAAATATTGTCTGGACACTTGAACGAATTCTATGTTTACTTGATGGTGTTAATACATCATTTCAGCCGATTAATTCTTCGAGCTTCGCTAGATGTATCAAAAAAGGAAACCGCTTTTTCCAAGGAAAAAGCTCGAACAATCATTCTTTCAAAATTATAAACAATACAAACCAGTGTAAATTCAGCATTTCAGCATTCACCGGATCTCCGATGATAGAACATAAACATTTATATATATATATATATATATATATATATATATATATATATATATATATATATATATACCTGCCAATATTAGACGAGATGATGCAAACACTTGACTCAGCTATCCGGCAGCATTAGATAGATAACGCGGGATATGCTGTCAAATACACGGATTCAGCATTTACCATTTTAGGCAGAGCACGGTCAGCTAAACACTTGCGAATCTTGGAGACATTGTATATAAAGTTACATCGACCGTCTCTGAATAGACAGAAAGAAAATTTTGTTCGTTCTCAATTTCTGTTATATTTTATAGTCACTAGGAAATTATATACTTTGGTTTATTGCCATATTTCCTTTTTACTTCGTTTTAGTAATGAATTTCAGTTTTAGTCATGGTTCCTCATTTAACACTCCTGTATTTAATTGCGATTCTCGGTGCGAATTTGATTCATTTTCTATATTTAAGAAGGCACCAACATATTTTTCTGAACAAGTGTTGGACGAAACACGATGATTTAACAATATATGTTTGTATATTTAAGGCAATATACAAATACTGTGGTGTCAAACTTTTGTTTATATGCTTTCGAAATAATTCCATTGCGGCCTCGGAGATGAAGGGGTGATTTTATAAACAGTGGCTGCTGCTGCTAATGCAATGCTCTTCCACTCGAATCGAGCTCTCCTAGTTACTGACGTCTTTAGCATAGTAAAAACGTTATAATTTCCCTTCCACTCTGCCGGGTGACGACAGCTTGGGGAAGAATCTCTGACTGATGCTAAATCGGTCGGGTTTTGATCCTGGTTTAAGCAGTCGGATGTCTAGCCACTGTGATGAGCTGTGATACAGTCTGTCTGACTATATATATATATATATATATATATATATATATATATATATATATATGCTAATGTTCACCCAATATAACGACTAAAGGATAAAGAGTTACTGAATAATGTTTGTGATATGAGCAGAAGAAGAAGAAGTAAGAAAATTATGAGGATATGGGGGATAGATAATTATTGATCCTAGCGGTTTAAATTACAGTGTTCGGGGAAGCATCCGCGTGGAAGTATGTCCTGCAAAACAGCCATAATTGTTAAGAAGCTGTTCAAGTTGATTATTCTTCTTAGCAATGGAATACCTAGAGAATAAGGATGATTCAACCCTGTTGACGTTGCAAGGAGGGTTTTAACTGTAAAGGTCTGAACTGGTGGAACTAAAGAATGGAGTTCATCTGAACATCTGCGATAGAGAAGCAATAGACTTGCGCTGTTACGTCTTTGGGGAAGGAGTTATAAATAATACAAACCAGAGTAAATTCAGCATTCGCTGGATCACCGATTATAGAACCGTCTTTTTGTTGATATCCCGCATAAGAAATTAACTGAGGATTCCAAATACGAAAATCATGTTGGCCATCAGTTCTAGCAGGGAAGATGGTAATTGCGGATCTAAAACAACAAAAGAAACATTCATGAATGAACAGGAAGAATTATGTGATTTCCAAGTATTAACATTGTCCTAAATTTTGCCAAATTTGATAATGCAAAACGATCAATTATGTTGAAATTACTACCGCATATTTCCGTGTATAAGACGACAATTAAATCTTAAAAATTACCCCAGGTCGTCTAATACAACAGTTACAAAAAGTTAACCTTAAATCCTGTGGTGTATCGGCAATGTTCAATAGGCTATTTATTATGATCGTGCCATGGATCGAAGTAGGCTAATGACTGCCTCGGTATGATAACTACCGATGTAAATATTTTTAGTTGAAACAATTCATATTATATAAGTTATAAATTTAATAAAACTATTTTTACTTCTTGATTTCACATTAAAATGCAATATTCAAGAGACGATTACACAACAATTTGCAAATGTTCTTCAGAACAGCACGTATAAGTAACAAGAAACGTAAACAAATCTTTCGTTCTTAGAGCTACGGGTGCGTTCACATCAATCATTATTTTTTTATAGTAGTGTTAAATAACAACATTTAGGATAACATACAATTTATCTAATTAAAATTCATTATGATTGTAGCGTTAAATAACAGCAACATTTAGCATAACACGCAAACTTTATTTTTCAATTACATACATTACGGTATTTTTGTTGTTGTGTTAAACAATAAAACATAATGCCATAAAATGTTTATTTCTCGTTACAGAATACACAACTTTCGTTTTCAGTCGAAAGAATGAAATCGTTATTGTTATTTTCATAACTATTCATCTTAATGTGGCACCATGCATCCTGACGGTTTGAAAGAAATATTCATAGATATATGACTTGTTTTTTACGGTTTATCAACCATTTAATAATTATTTAAGGCCGAAAAATATTTCGGGTTTTAAGAATAATTCTTTCCTTACGTTCAAGCGATCTGGAAGAAGGAAAGAGAAAACGAAGAAGAAAGAAAGAAAAAAATAGTACGAAAATAGGTCATAGGCGAACACACACACGCTCGGCTGACAGATAACAGGTGTCGAAAAATATCCAGGTCAAGCATCTAACCGAGATCTGGGGAAAATGGAAGTTGTTATCAATTGGTTGAAGAAACGAAGTTTAGGGACAATGAAAAATATTGATAAGTAACAAGTGGAAAGTGTGTCATTTGGATGATAGTAAAAGTCTAAGGGGTGGGGAAGTGTATCTAAGGATATGAAGGCAAACCATTAATACGAAAACACAGACAATCTCCAGAATTGGAAAAAGCCACACAAGATGATGTCGCTGAAATTTTTTTGAGATAATAAAGATTTTATTATCGGACCTTCGGCCGGAGGAAAATGAAATATTTTTATTTCGTTCAAAAAACGCCAACAGGTCTGAGAAATCCTTCCTTAGGTCATATCCAATTAGCGATAAACCGTTTGACAAATACCACGTGTTAAAAAGCCGAAGGTGTCATCGCGGTCGCTCATGGTGGGGGGGCGATTTAGATTAATATTTTTGTTTTTTAAGCAAGGTGTTCATTTCCCCAAAACAAAGCCACGGATTGTCCACACCCGACTAAAGACGTCATTGGCTAAATAAGATCACATGACACACAAAGGAGGAGGAAAGATACCCGACCAGGACCTCATTGGCCGAAAGCGGTCACATGACATACGAAAGAGGAGGAAAGATACCCGACCAGGACCTCATTGGCCGAGAGCGGTCACGTGACACACGAAGGAGAATCGGTCGACGCCCATGTCAGAGGTGTAAGTGTGAGAAGCCGATACGAAGAAGCGGGGAAGCAGGCACACGCTCCTCAGAGGCACAGTAAGGGAGTGGGAGTGAGAGTGAGTTACCGAAAATGGAAAGGAATGAAAAATCCCTAACCAGAAATAAGAAGGGTGGATATGTATTTAGAATTATCGAAAAACCCCTGGCGCCGACAGACCCACCCCAGTTTTGACTGCGTCAATAAAAGCGGGACCCCAACCGAGAGAAATCAGTTTGAGTTAGAGTTTGAGCAGCGGACGGCGAAAGAGTTCAGCCGTGGACGACAAGCAGAGATGAGCGCCCAGTGTTGAAACCGCGTCAAGATAGCTGACCAAGATTCACGCACACCTCTGGACTCTTCTTCAACCAAGACAAAGTAGTTTGAAGAGCGACTTAGAATCAGACCACAGAAATAAGTTTTTTTTTTCGACTTTCGTCCAAAGACACACCGAAACACAAATTTCTTAGAGAGCAGACAACTTGAAGCCTTAAAGTTGCCTAGTAAAAGCGTTGTGCCACAATCCACAGAACGGGTCGGGAAGTAGACATAGTCCTATGTACCGAGCAAATAGACATAAAAAGTTTGTTACCTTTTTCTTTGATACGTTGGACCTTGTGAGTTTTTATTTTATTTTTTTTTATACATAATTGTGTGTTATCACCCCCGTTAGACTCAACTTGCATTACGGCCCCAACCCCTGTTTGATCTCGTCTGTCTAAGATCAATTCACAACGTGGGTAGGCAGATCAGTGCAGTTACCCTGGTAACCAGGCGTTGGAAGCGGGTTGGGAATGACGAGGCTGGTATCAATCTAACCAAAGGGTTAGAACGTCACGTTTGGAGCAGCGAGGAGCGAACAGCTGACGCCGCGGCAAAGACGTCACAACTGGTGCTGTCCGTGACCAGGATATCAGAGCCTGGGGAGCACGTGACGTCACAATTGGCGCCGCGACCGGGATCGAACGACATAGTCGACGCTGCGACCGGGGGACGACGTCACATTAATACGTTATATTATTTCATTCCTTTTCATTTGATAACGATAAAAGTAAGCAAAACAACATTAGCAATAACATCAGCTTTATTTTATACCTCGCTACTACTGATACCTACGTTTTTGGTCGTCTTATACTAGGGATATCAGATAAAATCACGAAAATTTCACTAGGTTTTGGGTCTCGTCTAATCTAAAGGTCACCTTATCCGTGGAAATATACGGTAATTATTATATTTAAAAAAAAATTAGCGGTTAGAAAACCATTAATCACAAGAGATTCAGACATCAGACGGGGATTAAGGAAAGAGTTTTCGACAATCGGCGGTTAAGATTCATAATCACAGGTGACAGAAAAATCTGTCGTCGATCGGAGATTCTTATGCGGGGTTGGTGGTGACGGGAAAACCTTTTGACTATGGGAGAGTCAAACTGGTATTTGAGGGTGACAGAAAAACCTGTCAACGATCGGAAACTCAGATATCATGATTAGGGGTGGCGGGAAACCCTTTCGACGATCGGAAACACAGATTTGTCATCAAGGGCAAAGAAAAATGCTGTTGACGATTGGAGACTCAGATTCATGACTGCAAGTGGAGTGAAAATCTTTCGACTATCGGGGAGTTGAACTCGTGATTGGGGGTGACAAAAACATCTCAACTCAAATCCGTGATTGGGGATGGCGGGAAAACTTGTCAAACTAGTGATTGGGAATCTTTGAAAGCTTTTGTCCGATTACTAAAAATGAATTACTATACAAATTAAGGTTAGATGTTTGGCGTTTTTAATGACCCATTAGATCATTAGATACCGAATAATTCCTCTTCATGGGATTTCACGTAAAAATGATTGGTTACTTAGTGTATTTTTTTTATCTATCTCGTTTCCATGTCAGTTTGTACTAGGTTACATGGTATAAGCAACGGGCAACCATCCTTGACCTAAGCTATTATCGAATGTTTAAAATGGATTGTCTTACAAGTCTAAGGGGCAGGGCTAGCGCCTACTACCTCCGAATCCACCGCTCGGGGTGGCAAGCCTGATTGGGGGTCCGGGCAGTGCTTTGTAACCTTTGATATCTTATCAACATTTGCTTTTTACTACTTACATTTATATATGTTAGAAATTAAACGAAGTACAACTGGCTATTAAAAGACGAAAACCTTTCACGAATTTTGACGTCATTTTGGGATCTTTTATTTCGTCCAAATCCGTGAAACAGTATATAAAATTCACTATTTTTTATACATAATGTTGGATGTGTTATAATTATTCAATTTTTTTAGCAAGGAAAAAAATCTCAAGTTGATGCTAAAAATTGCCGCAAAACGTTGTTGATTTACTTAAAATGAAATGATCTATTATGACATGTCTAATTTGTATTTATTTTCAATTTTTCTAGTTGAATTGTTAACCTATATTGCATATGATCCGTTATTGTACATAATTAAGTTACAGTAAAACGTGTATTAAATATGACTACTACCTTATGAAAACTGATATGTAGTAGAGAGGGTGGGCTTGTTAAAGGAGGTTTAATTACCACGCTCTTTACAAATATTTCTTAAAGGCAACACTAAAAAATAAATACCGCAGCTTGAATTTGAACTCGGTTCGCTTGTTCTATTTCCTTTGCTTTTAAGTGTTAGGCCACTCATAATTTTGCTCGTCTGAAAAACTTAAGGAGTTTAATCGTGCAGTAATTTTATAACTTACCTCAGATTTCCGTTGTTATTCGAATAGGCAATATGTTCACAGATTGCGTCAAACATCTGCTTTGAGGTGGTTACATCCCTTCTGTCAAAAAGCTGGAAAAAAATGGTTTCTGTAAAATTAATTTGACTTACTTGGAAAATGACTTCTATCGTTCTCACACCTTACGAAGCGTTTTATCTATGTAAAATGTCTGTCATCTTATGGTGCATAATTTTTTTTTTTTTTTTTTTTTTAGAAAATGTTCAGTGGATAATGTCAGAATGCCATTTTTAACCTTAGGTTTCTGTGGAACTCTCTTCCAGTTTCCTGCTTCCCAACTATCTACAGTCTCCAAATATTTAAATGCAACGTCCATTGCTATCTTCTATCTTTCTAATTTTGTTCTTTTATTGTTCTTTCTCCCCACTAAAATCTTTTCACTCTCTTCTACTGCCAGTAACTCTTTTCGTATTTGGAATTATTGTCTTCCTTTGGGTGAAATCATTAAAATCAGTCGTTTTAAAATGTTTTAGAATTTGTTATTAATTTAAAATTATTTTACTAAGTTTAAGTAAAATTATGTGTTTGCATGTATTCTCCGTTGAAAAATTCGTATTAAAAATTAAATTAATATTTTCAAAGTATATTTCTGAGTTGAGGTAATGTAATTATTTAGACTATTTACATCTATCGGACTGTTGTCCTCATCTCTGTTGCCATATTCACGACGTTTCGACCGTTGTATGCTCCGGCCTTATTCAGGATCTGCTTATATTTCTGAAATGAACTATTGTAATTTAGACTATTTACATTGTTCGGACTGTTGTCCTCATCTTTATTGCCATATTCACGACGATTCGACCGTTGTACACTCCGGCCTTTTACAGGTGATTGAAATTTCGAACCGAACCCTTTCTGTCGTCCACTGGGGTAGATTTTTCAAAATCCATGTTCCATGCCTCTTCCGGATATCTCAGTAGCAGTTATCTCCCTTTGATTCAATTCTCCAATTTTTTGTTCACCTCTGCTGTAGGTAAGTATTGAACTCATAACTTCTTGGGTCAAGTCACTGGATTCAAGCAAAGCTTTTATCCACTAGACGATGTGCAAATATTTTATTCAATTATTATATTTTATCATTTTGTTCCCATCAGTTTTTATACAAACTGCTATGTTTCGTTTTTGCTTTTTGCTTTCCTTTAATTTTTTAATCAATTACGCTCTAGCGGCTTCTCTCTTTGAATTTCAAACAAGCTTTCTGTAAGTCATTAATATGCGTATTAATGACTCATAAACCACTGCTACTATTTATTTTTAGCAGCGGGTATTTAACAGAACGTTCATCCCGGAAGAGTATAACAAAAAGATCGAGTTTAAAGTCGGTTAGGATCCCACGCGTACTTGCACTCGGGACAAAAATTGCTCCAGACTCCTTGGCACTTCCTTTGTTGAGGACGCCTCAGGCGTCAAGTAACCACTCAAGACACCTCCCGAAACTGAGGTATTGTCTGCGGGACAGCCTCCTGAGGCTCGAGCATATTATTAATTTAAGACTCCCTCCCGACACAACGTGATAAATATTAATATAAATGCTAACAAAATGAGCATTCATATTAAAAAAAAAAAACGCAAAAAGATCTTCCCTTTAGAAGAGAAAGGGTATAAACGAGTATCATATCGTTTAAAATATTAACTACTCATTAATAGAAAAATGGAGAATGACAGAACAAAACAGAGAAACTTTAGCGGGATAACAATCGATAATAGGAAGGCCTTTAAGAGTGAGCCCTACAGATGAATCCTGAAAGTTTTAGAGATCCTACTTAGCTTCTTCAAGTCGAAGGCTAACCTATATATCGTCATAATAAAATTCTAATAAAGCAGATTGTTTTGCTCGTAAATTCTCTTCTAATTTGGAATATCGTTGCCTGACTTTCCACTTAGAACTGTTTCTATTGTGGGATATACATATAACTCCAGCTACAGTTTCTGCTATCATTTCTAAACTGGATCCTCACAAAGCATGTGGACCTGATGGTATCCCTGAAATAGCTCTTAAGAAATGTGTTCCTGAACAGGCTCCTATTCCCTCTACAATAAATGCTTTACCGCTTCTTGTTTTCCTGCTTGTTGGAAATCCTCTTTTTCAGGATCCAGACTTTGAGAAATCCAAAGAACCGTTTGATACTTTTAACTATTTTAGCCTTCTACCTATTTTTGCAATGGACTAGATTCTCTAATTAACTCTGAATTGGTTATGTATCTTATATCGCAGGATCTAAGCAACATGACATTTTCGTCTTTTTTTTAGGTCAACTGATGTATTAACAGTTATTGCTGAAAGAGTCTCTCAAGCTATAGATAAGAATGTTGAAGATCTAGCTATTGATTTGGATATCTGGAATGCATTTAACAGGGTTTGGCATGATGGCTTTCTTTATAAGAACGTCATTTCTGAACGAATGTTTGATCTGATTTAAGCTTTTTTTAAAATCAAATTGTGAAATGAAAGCTATTTTGAAGGGTCACTTTCTTGATCTTTTTGAATTAATGCAAATGTACCCAAGAAATTTATCCTTGAATCTAAGTTGTTCTTAATGTTCATCAACGACCTTCCTGGTGTTATCAGTTTTCAAATCGATATCTATGCTGAAGACACAACTATTTACTCTTCTCTTTATGGTATGTCTAATCGGTTCGACAAGGTCAAATTGAAAGTTGATCTAAAAAATAACCTACATTCTGTTGTTAACTGGAGCAAGGAATAACTTGTTAATTTTAACGCCTCCAAAATAAAACTGATCGCTATTAATCAACTGAGAGAACCTTTTCTGTCTTCCATCAGTATGGCCGATGCTAACCTCCAGGAGAGTGACTCATTGCACCTTCTCGGGCTAACATTTTCCATTGACTTTAAGTGGAAACATTATATTGAATCAATTGCTAGTTCTGCTGCTCAGAAGTTTGGTTTACTTGTTATGCTAGACAATTTTTCTCTCCTGAATCTATCTTACGCATTTATAAGTCTACCATTCGCCCATGCCTTGAATATTGATGCCATATATTGTCTGGTGTTCCTGCTATATATTTAGAAATCCTTGGTAAATTACAAGAATCTGCAATGTTACTGGTCCTGACTTGGCATTCAGTCACTTCCTTCGTCGTAATGTAGCTTCTCTGTGCCTTTTCTATAAATATTTTCATGGTAATTGTTCTGATGAGCGTCCCTCTTTGGCATTTAGACTTGATGAATTTAAGCGTACTACTAGATTGGCAGCTAGGTTTCATTATTTTATAATTGAAAAGGCTAGCTGTAACCGTTCTATGGTAACTGATTCTTCTATTGCACTTCCCGCTTGTAGAACTCTCTTCCGGCTTTATATATATATATATAATGAAATGGACTAAGGCCGACAATTATTTTAATATGTTTTATACATTATTTTTAAAGATCGAAATATTTAAGTAAATGTTTACAATAAACAATAAACAGTATTAACTACATTTACCGGCCTGAATGCCAGCGACAGCAACTGACTATGGTGTACACCGCAGCAATTGACTATTCTCACTAACGGACTGTTACGTGACCTAGGAAATCCGCCGAATATTGGCGGTAAAGGTATCTATGATAGAGTTCAGGTGTCAAGGGGATTATATATATATATATATATATATATATATATATATATATATATATATATATATATGCATGCGTAAAAAAGCTAGATGTCAGAGTTGAATCAGACCAGGAAACAGTTTCTATTTTTGAAAAATAAAGCGTTAGGAAATCAATTGATCGAAATCGCCTGAAGATACCGAAAGGTTGAAACCAAAGTAGCGAAATCGGCTGATTTCCTAATTATATATATATGTATTATAAATTAATTGATTTACAATATGGTTTTTTTCGCTACACAGCTCTAACCATGTTTCAAAAATGGAAGCTGAAAGCTTCGATTTTAATTTTGTAATCAAATTAAAGACATTAGTTCCATTTCATCCTCAAGCGAATTTTGGAGTAACTTTTAAAATTACTGGGTTTTAAAGACACAGCAAAAATCATAATTCACGTTTCCAAGGATACAGAGAAATCCGATTCAACCAGACAAGGGGTGTCTGCGTGTTGATTATCGCTGTATTTAGATGTATCAGTTATTAGTTACGTTTTGGTAGGGGTAGGGATGTATTTTTCAATGAAATATATATATATATATGAAAGGATGGCTAAAAATTAATTTACTCATTCACTACTTCCTCAAATTTGGCCAAATACAAAAATGTTTTAGAGTCTTTAATGTAACTTGCTTAAATTAAAACTGATGGAAAATATACACTGTCAGATTGAGTGGTAATTCAAGAGATAAAAATAAACATATTTTTATCTCTTGAATTAACACTCAATCTGACATGATAGATAGATAGATAGATAGATAGATTCTAACAGGTTATGATAAATGGATACATTCAGATACATAGATAGATTGATATATCCTAGTAGATTAGGGTAGATAATTCTAGAGTCAAACATAGATAGATAAGAACAGACTGAGACAGCTAGATATGAACAAAATTAGATAGATAGGAACGCTGAGATTAATAAAGAACGATGAATTTGTCGGACAAGAAAATGTTTCCTAAATGTTCCTTACTTTCAGATTGGACCACTGAATCCTGCCGACGCACCTGGAAGCGTTCCTCCACGCTGTTTTGGCGCCAAAGCTCAGCATATCTGTGGTTATATCATATAATCCTGAGGCCTGAATACTCTTGGTGTATTTATCCACATTGTTCTTGTGTTCATGGCTTCCACGCCTGAAAATTAATTGTTAAAATATAATAATAATAATACTATATATATATATATATATATATATATATATATATATATATATATATATAAAAGTAATAATTGTGGGTAAGTAATCCAAGTGAATCCTAATAATATAAAATATTAAAACTGATCCACAAAAAGAGCTCAATATATTTATTATAGAGCATATAAATAAATTACATATACATAAAATTCAACTGTACCCCATTTAGATGGCTATTTCGCTCCTAGAGAAATTTCTCTCCTTGAGAAAATTCCCTGGAGCTTGTTAGCACCAAAACGTTTAATAAAAAAAAATGAATCTGAACTTTTTTTTTAAATAAAAAAATTAAAAGATATAAGAAGAAAAAGGAAAAAAGGGGAAAAACAGCAAATAATGGAAATGGCATTTAAAAGAGAGATAGAGAGTTAAGAAGGGGAGGAAAAACCTAGACTAGACTAGATATACATACAAATCTAGACAGAAGTTAAAAACGGTTGAAAATTAACACTGACCTATATTTAAGATGATAACTCTAGTTAAAATAGAAAGAAATTACATCAAGAATTACAATCTTTAAAGTTAAGAACACATTTCTTAAATGTAATATCTAATATTAGTCCTACTTCTTTGTCGTTTATGTCACCGCTTGCATAAATTATCCTGTATTTGTCACTGACAAAATCACCGTTGTTTGGCCATCTGGTTTCCCATACACCTAGAATGTTGATGTTAAGTCTGTTCATCTCTTGTTTAACATTATCAAACTGGCCGCAATTGTTCAATGTTCGGACGTTCCATGTCCCAAGAGTTATTTTGTGTTTGATGCGAGCAGTTGCCGGTTAACTGTCCGGTGACACCTGTCGCTCATGTCGTTTCTTTCCGGGCGAGGGATAGGTTCCGAGGACTTTTATCTCTTTTACGCCGTTTATGCTAGCAGTCGCTGTTGCCGGGCGAGGAACTAATTCCTGTAGACTTAACCCACTTCAGGCCATTAGGTTTCGCACAATCTGAGTTGCTAACCATGATTCCTCCGCGCTTTGTTAGGTCTTGTTTTTCGTCCTACTGGCTTGCTAACGAGCCGCCTCACTCGGAACTTGGAGTGGGGTTGTCGGTTTAGTTTCTTTTTTAAAATTTAAAAAAATTAAGTTTTAACTTACTATAAGTCCCGTTGCTCCTTACTAAAACAATATGTGATTATCCAGCATTGTGGAAAAAGCGCTTCTTTCTGCTTACAAATGGGACCTTCAATTCAATCTTGCTATACTCGAATCAAATAGTCATTTAGTGAAATTTTGCGGCTGACTTTAACAAGAAGCGTCTCCATTTTCAAAGACCACCGAGCCGTGGTCGTGGTGTTGGTCAAGTCTAACATGCCGACGTCATTGTCCCCTCCCCAACAGTTGAGAATGGCGACCTTGCATTTCAATAAAATAAGACATAGGGGGAAAAATAAAACAAAATATATTTCTTTACTTTTCCTGTCTTCATCTATCTAGCACTAGATACATTTGTTGATTATTTGGAAAAAAAAGAGGTAATTTAAAAAAAAATATTATCTTAGGGGTTCACTATCTTTTGCTTAGCACTGTATATAATATAATAAATATATTGGGTTGGCAACTAAGTTCTCGCCATGTTTTTAAATTTTGGAATCTATTGCGTTTTTAAATTTTGGAATCTATTTTTTCCGAGAATTTTATTTTGGAATCATTTTGGAATCTATTTTGTAATTTTTTTTTCCGAGTTAATTTAAGTTAATTTCTGTTTATTTTCATATCATTAAAATGGAATGTCAAGTTAAGAAAAATGAGCATTTTCGACACGTCCTTTTTGCTTTTAATCAAGGTTCTAGGGCCACTTGCTCGCGACATTTGTGCTGTGTATGGAGAGGATGTCATAGTTGAAAGAATCGCTCGTGATTGCTATGCCAAATATAAAGATAGAAATTTTACCTCAAAGACGCACCTCGTTCTGGTCGTCTAGCTGAGTTCGCTGAAGAGCGATTAAACAAACTTTTGCACGAAAATTCTCGTCAGACAACAAGGGAACTGGCAGAGAAACTGGAATGCTCCCACACTGTTATAGAGAAGCATCTTCACTCGATGGGAAAGGTGTGGTGCATGGGTTCCGCATGCTTTAAGTGACAACAACAGAAATCAAAGAGCCACAATCTCCGATGGTTTGCTTGCTCGTCACCGCTCAACTCATGGACACAAGCAATGATTTCTTTACCGAATCGTTACTGGCAACGAAAAATGGTGTCTGTACATCAGTATGAAGCAGTGCAAGGAATCGCTTAGCACCGGTAAGCAAGCGACACCGCGCGTGAAACAAGATCTTTATCCGCGATGTTGTGCGTATGGAGGGACTGGGAAGGGATTATCCATGCTTGAAAGGAACCAAACGGTCAACGCCGAACTCTATGTTCAACAGATGGAATGACATGGCTATTCATAAGAAAAGACCTAATGGACAGTATGGAGATCTTTTGATGCACGACAACACCCGCCCTCATATCGCCAATATGATCAAGGAAGCCATTCAAATGCAAGGCTGAGAAGTGCTGCCACACCCGCCGTACTCTCCCGATTTGGCATCAACGGATTTCCACCTCTTTCGATCTCTTTCAAAAGCTATGCGTGGAGTTTCGTTTAATATTGATGAAGAATTGAGAGCTTGGCTGGATGAATTTTTCGAGTCGAAACAGGGTGATTTCTATCAACAAGGTATTGAAAATCTTGTTGAACATTGGAAAGAATTTGTAAACAACAAAGGGAAATACATTATTGATTAATTAGTTGTTTTTTTATTAAACCTTTTAAAAAATTTAAATAAAAATCCCGACAGGAACTTAGTTGTAAACCCATTAATATAATAGCTGGCGGCTCATATCTGAGTATGTCTGTCTACTTAGGAGGTTAGCCAATTTCTGTTGCTGACGCTTGCTCAGGCACATGTGTGTTTGTTCAATAGCCACAGGGCCCACCTGTGGGTTATACTGCAACTATGCTGAGCGGACCTTAGTTTATCTGGGAGAGAACGCATTGTTCTGGAGTGATCAACAGTCTGAAAAGGCCAATACGCTCAAACCCTCAGTCACGATGACTTGATACTTTGTGCCAGCATAGCCTTCGACAGCTTCCGATTATATATTTAAGCTTAGCAAAAGATCTCAGATCGGTATGGCATTAAACCCCGTTGGCAATCCGAATTAAAATTATTGCTTCGCAATTAAAGATAAAATCTCGATTTTCAAACTCGATGTAAGGTGAAAAGTATGTGCTTTAAGGCACTCTAGTTTCAACATATCAAACTTACTTGTTTAGACTGGTGTAATATAAATCCAAGAATTCTTTCATCTCTTTGATGACAACAGATTTATCTCGGAATTGTTTTGTATTTTTCCGCAATATTGGTTTCATCACAGAACCAGTGCACGAATTCCTTTGACATGTGACTGGCTGAATCTAGAAAGAAAGAGAGAAAAACTTACGAAATGTCTCATTAAGTAATTAACTTCACACAGTCATTTTTTGAATATTTGTTAGGTCAAATCGATGAGATTTTAATAGGTCGTGTCTTCATAAAAAAAACTACGTGCATATTTCGACTGAGAGACAAAATTATGATCTCGTTCAAACATTACTACTGAGAATCTAAATTATGATCTAGCCCAAATATTACGACACAGAATCAATATTATGATCTATCCCATATATTACGAAGAAGTCACCTAAATATTACGGCTAAGACTCAATATTAAGATTTCTCCCAAACATTAAGTCTGATAGTGAAAATTATGATCTCTCCCAAAAATTAAGTCTGAGAATCAAAATTATGATCTCACCCATATATTACAATTGAGTACCAAAATTATGATCTCTGCCAAATATTACGACTGAGAGTCAATATTAAGATCCCTCCCAAATATTACTATTGTTCGTGAAAATTGTGCTCTTTTCCATTTATGTGATAAGCTTCTGTGAAACGATGTCGAAACGAGGGCCTTAACAAACGCGAGAATCTGCTAAGAGACACACGAAATTGAAAGTTGTGGAGGACCATGATCGCCTATTCCCTGAAGGGACGTGGCACATAGAAGAAGAAGCAGAAAGCTGCAATCGTAGGAGCATTAATGAGTATTCAAACCCATGGTTAAAACTTCCCGAAACGAGTACTCTTAGTGTTTCAGTATTGGGTGGTGCTAAGAAAAAAAAGTTAGCTGGACACATTATGAATATGTTTGGGTACAAATGTTAGTTTCGACCAATAACTGCGAGTAGAATTTACAAACTCGTCAATGAAATAGCAATTATAAATTAAGGAAACTTATTGAATGATGAGCAAACAACGACATAAATAACGTTAACTTCATTGATTTATTTTTTATTACTGTATATTTCCGCGTATAAGGCGACCTTTAGATAAGACGAGGTCAAAAAATATAGCAAATTTTCATGAATTTATCCTATACCTGTAGTATAAGACGACTGTTTATTGATAATATAAAGATGATGTTATTGGAAATGTTACTTACTGTATCCTTAGAAATTCAAAATAAAACCGATTGTATATCATGTTTTTCCCACACGCCCCCTAAAATGGCAAACCATTGTTTTGTTTACATTTCATCACGTGATCTCTTGCGAATACTGATTTTTCTTCTTCCTCTTTTTTTCCTATATCTAAACAGTTACAAACAGCCTGGCGTACTAATAATGGTCATTTACTTATAATTTCATCGCTAATCACAAAATATCGCCATAATGTACGATAATACTACACTTTCAACATTTTTTATTCAGTCTGTTTCTAACTTGTAAGTCAGTTGAAATCTCCGATTAACTTATACCTATATCAACCTTAGAACCACCAGCAAAATGAAGGATGTAGGAAGCGAGGTTGAAAGCTTTTGTAGTAGGCAAGGAATCGAAAAACTGTGTTGCTGCAAGAAAATTCCATATAATCGAGAAGCTGGTAAGAAAACAGAGAACAAAATCAAGATAATTTCAGAAAAAAACGTCAAAATAACACCAAAATGATAATGAATTTTTAATGAGAAATGAATATTGTTATCCTAAATGTTATTAATGTCGTAATTAACACTAAAACTACCATGATGATTAAAGTTTAGCGAAAGATAATGGTTGCTGGGAACGCAATCAAAACTCGATGTTTACATTTTCTCAGCTGAGCTTCTATGGATACAAGTTGATTTCATCAATATAGAATTATTCTTCGAATAGGCATTTTATTGTGAAGTTATTCTGTGACATTTTAAAGGTTGAAAGGATAGCTCGTTACTATACCAAGAGAGATATGACACTTCAAGGGTTGAAATAGATCAATAAACATACCGAGAGACGAGACAATATTTTAGTAAATTCAGAGTTTTTTTTTCTTTCTTGGATAAAGATAAGGGGAAGGAGAGAAAAATCTGAATTTTCTTACAATATGGCCGTAGTTGACAACTGACTATGAAATGGAGACATTATAGTATTTAAAATCCAGGTTATGGAATTATCTGCTGGCCAAAACCCGGCAGAGAAAAGTCGACCAAGATAAAAATTAAGGTGTTCTGGAAACAAAGGCATAACTTTTGTGCTTATTAACATACAAAATCTTGGCATCATATGGTCATTAGATTCTGAGAAACGAATAAAATTATTCAAAATTGATGGGCGTACGAATAATTTAGAATCTCTATATAGAAAAAATCTATTGGCTATGTCATAATTTCCCGTTAATAATGATCCTGAAAAGACGAGATATATATGAAGAAAAGCTAGTTCCGATGTCATAATGTCACATTAATAATGTTCCTTAAAAGATGAGATATAAAGATTAAAGCTTGTTGCGATGTCATAATTTCACGTTAATAATGTTCCTTAAAAGATGAGATATAAAGATTAAAGCTTGTTGCGATGTCATAATTTCACGTTAATAATGTTCCTAAAAAGATGAGATGTTGAGAGAAAAGTGATTTGCTAATTTTATGTTAATAATGATCCCACAATGACGCCACAATAGATAAAGACAGCGAGAAAAGAAAAGCTACTTACATTGTGGCTTTTAGCGTGTAGCGTATCCATGAATTCTTTGCCTTCTTCACAATACAATTTGAGCGGGAATTTTGTGTCGTTCGGTTTCAGCCATCTTTGGTTCTCTTTGTCGGCAGTGGAAGCAGCTGTGGGTGGAAGCAATTGCACATTGTCATCGTGAAAACCCTTGTTGAAAACACCGTTGGACACCACATCATCATAATCAGCTTCTGTATTCCAGCAGGGAAAGAACGAACTTTTGATTGATTTTCTTTGTCTAAATCTAATTGGTTGGTTTGAAATAACGTCGGCCGACATTTTCTATTTTCAGTCTTCTTTATGTATCTATTTTGGAGTAGTGTCTTTGGCGACTTCCGCTCCACTTCTTTCTTTCTTTCTCTCTTTAATGTCTTTTCTTTCTTTCTTTCTTTCTTTTTTTCTTTCTTTCTTTAATCTCACTTTTTTTTCAGCACTTTTGTTTTTCCTCGATGTTCGGGATTTCTTTCTTTCTGAAAACTGAAGAAAAAAAAATACAAGCTTTAATAGAGTTAAATAGCAATAAATTCCTCCCGGAAAATACCGTTAGTAACAAAGAAAATAGTGTTGGACTGTTATATAATATCAGGCCTATATGGCAGTGAATATTGGACGATTTCCAAACAAGTGAATTATTTGATTTTGTTTAGTGGCATATCAATCTCTATGGGTTATTTAATGCCGAAATCTAAAAATTTGAACTATTTTATGGCTTCAACAAAATATTTTGAATGCAATTCTATGCCTTTAATTACAGGATCGGCCAAGATAACCGTTGCTCAATTTAAACCACAAAAATGTGTACACTATTGTTTAATTTTACACCTTTCCTTTCCTTCTAACTAAACTTATTTATTTTTTAGTTATTCTTCTTATTAATTTGGGGTGTTAATTTATATTTGATACACAAATGATAACGCTATTAAATCAGTAATTTCAGAAATATATACGCAAAATTATATTGATGTCTTAGTTGTCAACACCTGTGGAATATCTACAAATGGCGAAAGAAAGAAAGAAAGACTGGTGAATATCTTTAGCGACTGACACTTCAGTGTTGCCGGTTAGACAATAACCGATTCCGATCCTGCTTTCAAACAGTAAATCTCATGAAATTAATCAGATAGATAGAAACAGACTGAGATAGATAGATAAAAAAATAAAAACTTTTAAGATAGTTCGATTCTTTGTACTATTCAGGAGCTACCAATGTCAGAAATAATCCACCTCATGTAATAAAATGTTTTTGCCTACTATTTTGATTCTATAAGATCAATGTGACAAATAAAATGTCTTATTAAAATGTAATAAAAATGCAAATAAATGTCATTTATTTCGCTGTTTTAAATGAGTGTAACGTATCAATATCTGTTTGAAAAATGAAAAAAAGAGAAATATAAGCGTATAATTCCATCAATTACAAGAAAAAAGTCTTATCGTTTTTAATCTAATTCAATATTCACAAGTAAAATGATAGCCTGAGGAATATAACATGGTATGATTGTCAGTAGATTGGATATCGGAATTTTTGCAGAATGAATTGCATTGTATATACCTACTTTCGAGGGCCCACTGAAGAAAAGCAAAAGGACAAAAGTGTGACATACAAGAAAGGCATAATTGATGGCGACTGGTTCGTTTAACACTTTCATCCTCATTTATTCGAGCCGTAATCTCTAGAAAACAATTCACGCAAATCGCGAGTTTCCTGATAAAGATACCTATTTTAAAATGGCGTTTGTTTCCTAATTTTCTGTTCGTTGTAATTTCTGCCTTACCTCAGACTGAACAGCACGTGATCTCGTCGTCTTCCATTCAGTTAAACGAGAGTGTTCCTGGTATATATTTTTCTTCTTTTTCTTTTAGAAAAGAAAAGTGTTCGTTTTATAAGATGTCAACAAAAATGAAGAGAAAAGATTAGTTGTTGCGTAAAAATAAACTCATTGATTCTCGCTGAGTTATGACTCAGAATTGCAAAGAAAAGTAAGCAGACAGGAAGTACAAATTACAAGTTTGAACCTGATTATATTTTATTACTTTTTAAATTGTTGATGAGCTATTAATTATCAGTTTAGGTAGTAATTTAAAAATATAAAACAATAAAATAACAAATAAAATTATATATATATATATATATATATATATATATATATATATATATATATAAAAATTTTTTAAATATTTGTTTGCAAAAGGTATTTTTGATACACACTGTATATATATTAGTGAGTGTGTTTGTGTGTATGTGAGAGAGAGCGAGAGAGAGAGAGTGTGTGTGTGTG